CTTTCTGATGGTTACATGGTTACAGACTGTGTTTCGTCTGTTACGGAAACTGACCCAGCAGGCACAAGATGTCAACATGACGTCAGATTGACGTTATACGTCGTTGGGACATTGCATTTTGTTTGGAAATGAAAATTAGGTTGATGTCAGAACCCAACTTCAAGGTCGACGTCAATGTACAATGTCCAACCTAAAATCAACCAAATATCAACGTCTATTGATGTTACAGCTTGACGTTGTGTGAATGTTACCACTATGACGTCTACCAGACGTCGGACTTTGGTTGCCATACTTGACGAATAAATATCAGTATTTGACGTCAATATGACGTTAGTTTAAGATGTTTGCTCGATGTTGGATTTTTGGAGTCACTCACTGTCTTCAAAAAACGACTTAAAACTCAACTATTTAGTCTCTAATTTCCTTACTAATCTGCAATTCCCTCTCTGACCCCTCCACTAACTACAATAATAAATAATAATAATAATAAAAAACTTTACTCCTTTTTTCCTTCTCACACTTTCTTTGCATACCTGAAACTTGCCTATAGAAATTATTCATTATTGCTTTTATAGTTGTGTAAATTGCTACCTTGTCCTCCCTTGTAAGTCACTTTGGATAAAAGCGTCTGCTAAATGACTAAATGTAAATGTAAATTTTGGTCACTTTCCAACACAACCTAAAAAAATCAAGAAAATATCAATGTCTAATGATGTTACAGCTTGACGTTGTGTGAATGTTACCACTATGACGTCTATCAGACATTGGTTTTTGGTTGTCATACCTGACAACTAAATGTCAGTATTTGACATCAATATAAGGTTGGCTTAAAATAGCCTAAAATCAACCAAATATCATTGTTGGTATTAAACATCAAAATAACGTTGTCCTTAGACTCTGGATAGATGTTGAATTTTGGTTGCCTGACTTCACAACCTAAATCTAACCTAATATTACGTCTTATGACGCCATGTGCCTGCTGGGGAGTTATTTGAAAACTGATTAATTTAAACAAGACAAGCATAGTACAAACTGAATCATTTGTGCAAACAATTGAACACCAATGCTGTCTGAAAATGCATACTGTATAGTAAGTACAGCATTTGATTTGAAAAAAGTATTGCTGTGTTTTCACTGTCAAAAGACAATCACTGCATCCCAAATCGCACTATTCTACGCCATTTTGTAATATGAATGGTGTAAGTAGTGCGTTCACACTGAAAACTCTAAAAAATAATAAGTGCACTTTAAATACACGAAAGATGCACTTATTCAACCGGTAACATGAAGTGTGGAATGTTGGATACTTCACGCATTCAACAACCGCAGATTTGCTCGTGTAGCAAAGGAGGCAGAGCTTTCAGGCGCTCATGTTAGATTAAATTATTTATTTTGGATTGTAAAAGCAAAATTGTCCTACGAGAGTTATTATACAGCCTCCCGATGGTGAATGAGGTTATACTCGTGGCAGGTGTTATTTGGTAGTTTGGTCATTCAATTCATTAATTTGGCAATCGTCAAACATCATCTGGGAAAACAGCTTGAATTTCCTCTTAGGAAAAAAATGTTAGTGTTCCATTTGGGATGACACTACATATTTATCTGTTTAGTGTTTAAGTGCATAAGTACATAGTGCATAAGTACTAAGTGTATAGTGTGCCATTTGGGATGCAGGTAAATTCTCTCATCTGGCCTCATGGGATAATAAAACATCCATTAAATCATTTATGAGTTCTTCACATGTTTTTGTCACACTTATTCACCTTCTGTATTGTAGAAAAGTATGCAGTTTCATTGAGTCATTGAATTATTCACTCAGACGTTTAGTTAAAAACCTCAGTTCATTCAGGCACTAAGCAAATGCACTATTAATGAATCACTGAATTGTTTATTCAAATGATTCATCCAAAAACATTGATTGATTTAGTAATGAAACCCAGCATTCTCTTGCTCGTGCCCTATTACGGTTCTTCTTGTGTCTTGATTAATGCAGATATTTTTTAAGGTTTTTCAATAAAATATTTTTCCATTGACAGCAATAAATCTGTTGATAATTCTATCATAACTATCTAACACAATTACAATGCCTAAACAAACTGAGGTTTAGGTAAAAAGTGTGAAAACTCCATGACATTCTGAATGATGAATTTGACACTGTTTTGGCTTGACCAAGTGAATTTTGATATATAATATCAAAATCTGTTATAATCATGTAATATATTGCAAACTAGTACGTAAGATTAGGTTGCAGCTTAATATGTTGTACAGCTCTGTTGTCTTTCGTGTGTACTGATGACAGAATCAAGTTTTAACATAGCCAGCTCAACATAGGTATTCATAAAATCGTAGTTCATATTTTCACAGAATATATGTTTAGCATGATTTCTTCCCTAGAGCCCTTTGGGGCCACTGTCAAGCACATGTTGGAAATGCAAGTTGTCTCAACAAGCAAGATATGCTTATAATAGCGGATCAAAAAGCGCCTGTATACATGCAACATAAATATTCATTCTCACTTCTTGTGTTCTTTATAGTTGATCACACTGTTGCATCAGTTGCATGTTTGCATGCTCAGTAGAAGTCTATTTTGCTGCACTCAGACACTGTTGTGCCAGCTGGTCTTTTAAAGGGGTTGTATCACATTGCCAATCTACTCAGCCTTGATGTAATGATTGACAGTTGGGAATTTTATCAAGTTCTATTAATACATTTAAAATATTCTTACTTTTGCTTATTACACCACTGTTCACAGTTTTGGGTTCGAAAAACATTTAATGTTTCACCAATGATGCTTTTATTTGACAAATATACAGAAAAACAATTATACTCACACAGGCTTCTCCCAAAAGATAATAAGAGGATGTACCAGAGGCAACATTGTGGAAATAATATTTCTCAGCTTTTATTTACATTTGCACAAAAAACAAAATTGTCTAAAATTATTCATACCCTTCTGAATAATCAGTAGAGAAGCCTTTATTGGCTATTACAGCAATCAAACACTTGCTATAATTGCTGACTAGCAATTGCTGACTAGCAATGACTAGCTTTTGCATGTCTCCACTAGTATTTCTTTCATTCATCTTTAGCGATGAGTTCCAACTTTTTCAGGTCGCTGGATATCCTTGCTATCGGCATGATCTTTATTTCTTCCACAGATTCTCAATTGGGTTTAAGTCAGGACTCTGGCTGGGCCACTGCAAAACAATAATGCTTTTGTCTGCTAACCATTTTTTCATCACTTTTTCGGTCGTTGTTGTGCTGAAATGTCCTCTAGTGCCCAAGGCCATGTTTCTCTGCAGACTTGCCAATGTTGTTGTTAAGAATTCTGTTGTATTGCTTCTTTTTCACGGTGGCATTTACTGTCATTAGTTTCCTCGGTCCACTAGCTGCAAAACACCCCTCAAAACATTAGGTTGAAGGCCTCTCCTTATTGAGGCCAAATGAAGGCTACTTTATTGTGACAAACAATACAGTTTTTGTTACATCTGACTATAAAACAGAAGACCAGAAGTCGTCTTTGTCTATTTGCAAAGGCCAAGTGGGCTGTTGTGTGCCTTCTCTAGAGAAGTGGTGTACTCCTTGGTCTGCGTCCATGGAACCTGAAGGTGTGCAGTGTCTGTTTGCCTTGAGATGTTGCCACCAGCAGAGCCCAAAATTGGCTTTGGTGGTGATTCTTGGATTCTTTTTTACCTCTCTCCCTATCCTCCTGGCCAGCAGAGGTCACTTTTGGCTTCTGACCACATCCTCTGAGATTTTTCACAATGCGGAACATCTTGTATTTTTTATTTTATTAAGTTCTTCGCACTGTAGGCGCTGCAACTACAAAACATTTGGATATGGTCTTTTAGCCCTTTCCTGACCTCCGTAGCCACAGGTCTTCACTGAGCTAATTTGTCTTAGCCATGACTGTCTACAAACCAACAGCAGAGAGCGTCTGTTTTTCACATGTTGGGTTAATTAAAACACCTGTTCCTAATGAATCAGGGTAATTAAAATGCTTTAGAACAGGGGTGCCCAATCCTGTTCCTAAAGATCCTTCCTGCAGCATTCAGCTGCAATCTTGATAAAATGCACCTGTATTTTAATTACCAAGTGCTCATTCAGATCCTTCTGTTGTTTTTGATCAGGGCTGCAGATGAACTCTGCAGGAAAGTAGATCTTCATATATAGGATTGGGCACCCCTGCTTTAGAATGACTTGGAGAATTGGTAAATGCAATGGTATAGAAGTTTGGATTTGCTAGACCGTGACACTTTGCAAAGGGTATAAATTATTTTGAATATGTCACTTTTTGTTCAAAGGTAAATGAATGCTGAGAAATATTGTCTTTTGGGAGAAGCCTGTGTCATTTGCAGGCTTTGCTTGCTGGTTAAATCAAAGCAAATTTAAATCAGAATTTGCCAGGGAAATGTAATTATTCCATCTTTATGCTTCCATAAGAAAAATCATGAATTAACCATCTAACTTGAGTCCAAAAACAATGGACAGTTTTTAAAAATAAATGTATGATATGACCCCTTTAATGCAAAATCTCAATCAATAGTGCATAATACATTTTACTTATTAAAATCCAATAATTAGGACTTGAATCATCCATTCACTCTGTCCTTCTCACAACAGCAAAAGTTTAAGCTCAACAGCAGATTTGTAATTCCCTCCTCATCCCTCTCTCTTCCTTTTCTTTGTGTCTATCCCTCTTTCCCTGAGCGTCTCTATGGATATATCTCACACAACTCATGCTCCTGTTTTATTCCTCCTTTACTGCCCTTCCAATCCCTTGCCACTTCTTTAAATCTCTTTCGCTTTCTCTCATTCTGACCCCTTGACCTCCATTTACTTTGATCCTCCTCTTCTATTGATCCTGTCATGGAAACTCCTCTCTTTTGCATTCTATCCTTTATTTTTTGTGGAATCTTCATCCCTCCATCATTACATCCGTCATTCGCCTACTCTCCCTCGCTCCTCCTCCCCTTTCCTCTCTCTCTCTGTCTCGCTAGGAAAAGCAGCTTTCCGCCTTGGGTTCAGCAGACCCCGGTGTGAGTTTTGGAGGAGAAATGACCAGCGCTTCTGGCTTTGTTGGAGTCTCCCCTTCGGACAAATCCTCCACCCGATCCCCCCAGAATGGAATCGCGTCCTTCCCGTTAGTTCCCCCTCCTCGTTCAATTCCTCACGCACAACTCTGGCCGAACGGCAACCAAAAATCTGCAATGGATTGGAGGGCAAGTTTGGAGGGGGAGCAGGTCAATAACAACGCTAATCAAATTTGAAAATTTTTTAGGAATTCCGAAGACATTGTAAGGATGAAGCTTCAGCAGTTGTTTTTTTTTTTTTTTTTTGTACATTAGACTGAGGACAAGTGGGAGGTGGGACACGTCATTACTTGCACCATCTAAAACAAAAGGGCTCTCCATTGGATTCGATGTGTTATTCTGAAATCACGTTTTCTTTGGATCAAAGTTTAAAGCCCCTTGCACATACAGTACCTCCACCAGGTCATCCAAACCACTGGAAAGTGCTCGATTCAGGTTCCAGGTTTTTTTTTTTTTTTGACTGAGCTCCCTCATCTTGTGTAAAACCAATTCCAAGAAGCTTGGAATGACCCCGGGAATGGTGGGCAAACAAACTATACATACATGTTTAGTGATCAAGATTTGACCCACGAACACATGCCAGCTTTGTCATGTCGTCTGGCTTCCCTAGTGCCTTTCTGTATCTCCTGACAGGGTTTTTAAATGAACATGAGAATAACGACAGCAGAATTGCAGAAACGGTAGTGCAAACTCATTTAGGAGAAATTGATGTGCTCTTCTGCTTTAATGTGACACTGAAAATGTCAAGCTTTGGAGTCCGATCGTGGCTCGGGTTTTTGCGGACAATGTCTGGAAGTGCTTGTGGCTTGAATTGCCTCACAAGACTGAACTTGTGCAATGTTTTCTCTTCTCAATCTCAGAACCTATGTGTATTTAACTGGTGCTATGGATTCTCTGTGTCACGTTCACCGCCTCCCATTTTGTCATCGTCCTAAATGTTCATAATGTGTCTCCCATTCATCTCCTTACAGGCCGATTTTGACATTCTTTCGGTTTGTGTGTGTGTGTGTGTGTGTGCAATGTGAGGTGAGTGCGAGGTGATCTCTGTCAGGTCAAAACCCTTTTTACTAAAACAAGATGCCAGGGCAGAACGCGGTTGTGGTTTTAAGGTGTTTTTATACAAGATGGATATTTTTGGACATTTCTAATAAGAAAAACTTTGTGGGGGGGTTGTGGGGGTAAAGTCAATGTGGAAGTCAACTTGAAAGCAACCAATTTTATGTCCATAAAGTAAAATGGGAAATTTTACTATATTTTACCCTATGGGAATTGACTGAATTGTAATAATAGGTGTTATATACAATAATCCTATCCAATGGCTGAAGAATATAAGGATTTTTTGAGGTCTTGTACAAAAGTGGTGCAAGCTATATTTTTTCAAAATATAATACATGTTTTTTAATTCAGAACAGCATGCACCAAATAATCATGAATAATAAGACCAAGAATGTGCTCTGAAAAGTAAACAAACACTTGCACCTTTTCTTGCATTTTGGCAGAGGTTTTTATTCAAAGCGACTTAAAATATACATTTTTGCACTTCATACTTTTTTTCTGGGAATCGAACTAATGACAGTAAGCCATTTTGGCCTACATGATTGCTACAAATAAACTACGCAGTGTCCATTTTGATTTCACTTTAAATTTGGATCTCGAAAGTAGTTTTGGGCAGCACTGAGTGATCCTTTTAAGAAGGATCTTGTTAGACGACTCACTCGACAAAATAATCAGAGCTCTGCACTGTACAGAAATATCGCTAGCTATAATCTTTCCTTTCAATATCACTGCCATCTGATACTGATTGTATTCCTCATCGTTCACTGCAGTTTTCGTTTTATCGTTTGTTTTTATGATTAATCGATTCATTGTCATGTTTCTACAGACTCAAGACATTCACGTGGCTTTGCTGATTTACAAGTCATTCATTTTGTAACCCAATTCATGTTGTTGCATTGTAAACACTTCAAGTAGTTCTGTGTGTATCACAGCTACACCAACACAGCAGGCCTAGATGAGAGCGAGGAGGTTTCAATCGTAACTGCACAATAAAATCAAATCGCTGAGCTGTACTGTAATATGTAAAGATTGGGAAGGCACTAGAGAGGAGAATGGACTGATTGCCATTTTAGCTTTTACAAGCTTTGAGGGCTATCTTTAAGTGACTTCTACTCCATTTAGTAATAATATACAGGCAATTTTTGTTTATGTCCCAAAAGCAGTTGAGAACAAAATGGGATAACAGGGTTATCGGCTGATAAATGTGCCATGACATGAATATACCTCAGACGTAGAATCGAATGACTCAGGTAAACTTTCAATTGCCTCACAGTTTAATGCAAACTGGAAAAAAAAGAACACACACATTTTAAGTTTAGAACTGCCTGTTTTGGTAGTTAGTCCATTTCTTCTCTGAGATTAGTAGCAGTGATTGGTCAGCGGCTCATCAAGCACCTCCTCTTTTCCCTGCATCTCCAGCCAACAACAAAGCTTCATGGAGGACAATCTGGAACCTAATTGGAGGCCTCACCTAGGACATTCTTCAGGTTGGCCTGGGTTTAATTCCAGGGCGCTGTCACGCGATTCGGTTGGTTGACAGAGGGGAAACTAAGGCTTTGACTCAATGCCAGAGCCGATCCAAAGAAAAACAAATATAGGTTCCCTTCCTCTGACGTGCCCTCTCTCCGATATAGTTTGATACGATGACGAACGTTTGGGATGCTTAACGCCCATCAGATGGCTTCTTCTTGACGGCATGCAAGATGACGTCGCATGCGACGCAGAAGTTGGATGAGAGAGCTGGAGAGGTTCTGTGGATCAGATCAATCTCAAAGGTGCTGTTTTTTAGGTTCTTTACTAACTACATGTAGGATATTGAACAATACTTCTTCTCATTATGATCTTCACGTGCCACATTAACTCTGCCTGTCATGCTTGCCTGTGTCTCAATCACGTCTTTTATTTTTTGGGGAAACTGAATATGCACAGCCTTTTATTTATTTTTTCTCAAGAGACGCTGATTTGTCCCTCAGCGGATTTGATAAGAGGCTGGAAATATCCGAACTTTTGTTTCCTGGTGGTTTTCTACTCCCTGACTGGACCTCACTCCGATGAGATCACATTTTTACATGCTGGTAATGTGAGATCCTTTTTTTTTTTTTTTGATCTGGGAATTTATGTGACAATCTCTTTGCAAAGGAAAATCATTGCCCTGCTATTTTACCTGCTCCCCCTCTCCGCACTTTGCTACATCCTGATCCACGACGACTCCTTTTTACGTGAAAGAAAGATGGATTATTTTACTTTTTAACTCTCTTTTGTTTTGCTGTGGAGGTTCCTCTTGTTTAGGAAAAGAATCTGGCGCTCGCACATCTGTGGCACAAAGGGGTTATTTTGTGCAGCCAAGTTGCTGTTTTAAATTGACCTTATTTCCCCCTTGTTTGGAAATTGCCATTGCCGGGCAACACAGACATTTCTCTTCTTCCTTTTTACACCACTAGACAAAAATATAAACATCGGTCGAGAGATCATGCAGGTCTAATAATGTTGTGAGTGACTTTGTGTATATACAGTGTGTGTACAGTCTTTGTGTATATACTGGGTGTGTGGATGGTTATATAATATAAATATAAATATATATATATGTATTGTACATAAGATATGTTTGTATATGCAGTGTACAGAATGTGTTCTTTTACACCGATTTCCCCTTTTCTCAATATGTGGACAGAAAAAAGTATAAGAGCAGTTTGTGGGAATGAAAACTCATGTTGGCGACTTGTCGGCGGAGGTCTTCGAAGCACTTTTATTTGCTCAGGCTGATTGTACAAAGTCTGAAGCCTACAATGCATCGGCGTGAGTCCGCCACGCGTTTCGCCAGTCTAAAGCTTGCACTCATTTTCTCACTGACTGAGGTGTTTTGTAACAGGTTCTGGGTGATCAAGCAATGCTTGTACATAATTCTATTACCTACTGTATGTATGCATATATCCACTTTTCCAGACATGAGTCACCTGCTAATCTTTGCAGCTTTTGCATCTCCTCTTGCTTTGGATTTCAATGCGGTGCCGTGTGTGTGTGTGCGTGTCAGATGAGTTTTTTGGATCGCTGCAGAAGGCCAGTCTCGTGAGAAGATGTTCCCATTTTACTCTACTGACCTTTTGTATGGCCTGACGCTTTATTCCCTCATTACTTGCCTAGCAACTCTTCCATGCAAGTAATCGCTTCTTTGTCCCCTGTAAATGAATGGAGTTCCCATGATGTGCCTCTTTCTAATAAACTTCAGTTGATCTTTGTCAGCCATAAGCCAATCACAGTCATCTTTCTTGACAAGCCATAAGCCCCACCCCTAAATTTCCATTTTCGAAAAGGGCAGACACTTGGGAATTTTATTTCTTTTTCGTTTTTTTGTATATATATACTATATTATATTAATAGAAAGAGTGCTATGTCAGAGTGTATTGCCGATGTTTTTTGGATTTGTTATGAATGTTGATATTCTGGTTATTGAATTATGATTATTATTATTATTGTAATAATATAATGACTGCTGTTATCATTTCACCATTCCTTAGTTTATTCAATGCTGTTGAAGACTTTGATTTCCTTTTTGAACAAATCGGAATTTATATTTTTCGGGTGGGCTAATTATAGAAATGAAATCAATTAAACGGATGAATAAAGAAATAAATTCTTATTGAATTCATTTATGATGTTGAGATTTATTTTTGACTGTGATCTGTCTGTTTGTCTTTAAAAAAAAAAAAAAAAAAGATTCATCCTTATGCCTTTCAGCATTGCTGTGGTTTTATCAACCTCCCTGTTGATGATTCACGAACACAGCTGCCAGGTGACACCAGATGGTTTGCCTGCTAATCTTGTCCAGAGATGAGGAGTTGATGAGAATGTGTTGGATGAAATTGTTATTTTAAAATCCACAGCAGTCAAAAACATTTTTGGGTGGCTTTTTTTTAATACGAGTATGTTATGCATTAAGTAATCTATAAGCTAGTGCACATCTAAAATGATGGCAACATTTACATTTAAATGTATACATTTAGCACTTACAGTCTGTCATTTCTGCCAATGTGGATCATTTTTTGTTTTTTATTTAATGTTCAAACTCTGTCATATAAACATTTTACAGGCAGTCATAGTCAAGGAAGTTAAGGAATGTCTTATTTTTAAGATCTGTGCAAGTGGTGCTCAAGCAAAATTCTTAAATTTTAGACCCTCTGAATATACACTACCTGACAAAAGTCTTGTCGTGGATCCCTGTTGTAAAAGCAACACATAATTCCTTGACTTCCAGTTGATAATTTTGGAAATCATTAGGAAATGTGGCAGAAGGTAGATTTTTCCAATGAATCATCTGTTGAACTGCATCCCAATCATCACAAATACTGCAGACCAATTGCAACCCACATGTACCAAAGATTCTCACAGAAATCTGTAAGGTTGGGTGAAAGAGGAATCATTGTTTGAGGTTACAGTCAGTCGTGCGAGAGATCTGCAGAGTGGATGGCAACATCGACAGCCTGAGGTATCAAGACATTTGTGCTGCTCATTACATTACAAACCACAGAAGAGGGCTACTTCTTTAGCAGGATAGCGCTTCTCATACTTCAGCCTCCACATCAAAGATCCTGAAAGCAAAGACGGTCAAGGTGCTCCAGGATTGGCCAGCCCAGTCACCAGATATGAACATTATTGAGCATGTCTGGGGTAAGATGAAGGAGGAGGCATTGAAGATGAATCCAAAGTATGTTGATGAGCTCTGGGAGTCCTGCAAAAACACTTTCTTTGCCATTCCAGATGACTTTATTAAAAAGTTATTTGAGTCATTGCAGAGATGTATGGATGCAGTCCTCTCATGGGAGTCATACACAATATTCTTTTTTTTTTCCACTGCAGCATGACTTTATATTCTATACTGGACATTATTTCTGTTAAGTGACAAGACTTTTGTCTAAGCGAAGTCAGACCTTACTGTCCTAATTGAATCATTAAAAATCAAGGCATGCATTGTCATATTGTATTTTGGTAAAATAAGCATAATCTAGAGGCCTTTGCCTTTCATATAAGCCACTTCTGATACCAAATAATCAACGAGAAGTTGAGTTATTATTTGTTGTTTTGTCAGATTGTGTATGTAGTTTGTGTCTACAGCACTCAATTTGTCACTTAACACTTGTCTTGCTAACAATATTTTGTAGTAAAATGTACTGCACTGACTTCCTGACATTGCCACATATATAGAGAGAGAATATTTTGATGAGATCAATTTCTCATTACAACAATGTGAATGACACTGATAAACTATCATGACTTTGGACATAATCTTAAAATAATAGGTAAAACTGGCCCTACACTTTTAGTATATTCTTAAGTAGTTGCACACAATTCATTCTTTTCCTATATATTCTTATGTTATGTTCCCTAAAACTCAAGTACCTGAGGTCTAAAAACTATTTTAGAGAGGAACTTGAATATATATGAAAATACTTTAAGAACAAAACATGTTACAAATTTACTAGCTGAATACAATTACTGCAATCGCTATAATAATATTAATGTAACTTAGATTAGTTTTGATCACAAGACACACCAACTTTTCTCCTTACAGTTTAAATGAACATCCATAACATGCTTAACTTTAAAGTAGACTATGCACATGTATAAACTGTACTCACCATGGTATTTCAGCACAAAATGTGGTTGTAAATTTACGAACACTCATTTTCATATGAGACCGTCACATAAGCTCTGCAGCCGAGCGCTACTTGACCCACTTGACCAAGAACTTGACCTCGGGAAATCTCGCGAGAGCTGCAGCGATGGCGCAGGAAGCTGTCAACTGTCGCGATACTTGCTGCGGTCGCTGAACTGTGTGCGGTGGGAGGGGAAAAAATGGCCGCTCGCGGCAGAGCGACACTCGCAATGATGAGCGACAACAACACAAACATAACCCTCTCAAAATGTGACAGCTGACCCGAACCGACACCAGCACACACGCCGGCTTCCGAACGGATGGGTATCGCGGCCGGTGGCGGTGGAGGCCAGGAACGACAGCGTTTGTGTTTCCGTTGTAATTTGAAGGAAATAAGTGAGTTAGCTATCCTGCTAACGTTAGCCGCGCGCTAAACTGGAGCTGAACGAATCAGAACCAGAACAAGATACACGAAAACAGAGCACAGGAGCTGCATTATCACTGCTAACATGAGCGGACCGAGTCAGGACAGCGAGCCGGAGGCCAAAGTGCTTCATATTAAACGGCTGTACAGGTAAGAGCCCTAACAAAAGCACCGGTACTGTCAGGAAATCTGTGTAATTTTTATACATAGCATGCTTTGTTTGTGAGTCAGAAGTGTGTTAAAACATATTCATTAAATTGAATGCGTAATGAAACACTTGACGTTTAAATTAATCGTTCGTTTATTTATTTTCAGACTCTGTTTATGATGTCTCATGTTGAAATCTTATATTATTTGGCATGTGTGGCATGAAATTATAACCATTAAATCTAAATTTACTTTGTGATTTATGTCAGTGGCTGCTCTTATGCTAGCAGTAAACGGGCAGATATGTTTAAATAAAACGAAGAGGCCAGAATTGTAACCCAAATGCAGGTAGAAAATCTGAAGCATCTCTACTCGCAATGATTGTTAACCCTGTGAAGCCTGACTTTGAAATGATAGTCAACCTGAAAAAATGAACTTTTAGTATCATTAGTGGTAATCTGAAAGGAAAACGTACACACTTGTGAATGTTTGTATGAAAATTGAGATATGAGGATTTGATGTCTATAAAAAAGAGAATAGGTAGCTCACACCTGAGAAGGAAAAAAACAATGTATATTCTCAAAATATTTCATAATATTTGTCATTTATATATGACCGACAAATAGGTAAGTTTTATTTCCAGTCATGGGTGTAGCGGATATTTTAAAAGTGACAGGGTTGATTGATACGGTCATGGAAAACTTTTTTTAAAAGTCATGGAAATTAGTTTAACAATGATCTGTACACTTGAATTAGAGCTGCGCAATATTGGAAAATCTGACATTACGATATTTTGTATTTCTGTGATATATATTGCGATGAGAATACATTTCACCAGATGATTTAACAGGTTTATTGATTGGAGGCATTTTGTAGAGGATTGAATCCCGAATAACAAATAAATGACAAGCGTAGATAAATAAAATATAGTAAAGATAAAGTGAGTTATAGTTTTCAGGTATTCACTATTCAGGTACAGATATTGCATAATTAACACTGCATAGTCTTCATTGTATATTCTTTATTAAAGTTACAAAAAATTTCTTGTGGCCGGATGTTTTAACGTTTGAAATATTAAAATGTTCACACAGTCACAGGCCTTAAAGGGACAGTTCACTCAAAGATTAAAATGTTCTCACTATTTACTCACTCTTCACTTGTTTCAATAGGAGTTATTAAAGTTTATTATTTTTGTGTTCATTTAATTTAAAAAAAGAAGAAAACTCATTAATGTTTGAAACAAGTGAAGGGTGTAATGAAAATAGCAAGTCATTTTTGGGTGAACTATCTCTTTAAAAATACATGCAGATGATAAACTTTTACTACATTATGATTAAACTATAATCCAACATTGCATATCCTGTGATGTGACTATTGCGGATGCACACATTGCGATATCGATGCTGAAACTATATATATTGTGCATCTCTAACTTTAATATAGGTTAGTTGTTTTTGCAAGTTTTTGGCCAAGGACAGAAAAGAAGTACTCACGTCTTTAGTGAAGCATTATCAAAATCAATTTTACATAGATATAAAAACAAATTTAAACAAAATAGATTTTTGTGTGTTCTATGATATGCTGTAATAAATTTAAACGTCATTGTTTTTCTTATTATTTACCATGCATATGTGGATATTTCATGAAACATTATGTCATGAAAATGTACTTAAAGTTCTGGAAAAGTCATGGAATTTTAGTAGTAAAAATGTTTGTGAACCCTAAAGTGGGAAGACAGCTGAATGAGATCCAAAAGTTTACGTTTATATAATTATTAATCACCTGTTTTTAAATGGTCTGTCACTAAAGGTGAAGTAGACGTATCCCCTACCCCTGTCTCTAGTAGAACATAATACTTTTTTTTTTTACTAAAACCTTAGTGCTTGATTTAGAAAATGCAAGGTCTAAAATTCTCTTTCTTCAACTTTGAGAGTCATAATACAGCTACAGACAAAACAGTGAATAACCGTGAATCCTGATGATACATTTAGGTGTCATGAAGCATCAGCTCATGTTATGCCTAACTTTAAGTGTGTTACAGGCACATTTTATGTGGAATTTACACACGTTAAGAATTTACGTATCCTATATAGGCATGGGCCGGCATAAGGTTCGGACGGTAGGATAACCTTGGATAAAAATACCACAGTATCACGGTGTTGTGACTGCAGCTCTAAAATAAGTTATTTTCAATGTCTGTGTGAAAAAGCACCAATTATATTTTAGGAAACATTTATAATATTTTGGAACTGTAAACATGTCGGGGAAAAATAATTCAAATAAATCATTGACTTCTGCTCTCTTCTTTGATTTCAAAAACACAGATTTATTTACAACACATAAAAACATTTAACAAGCTCTTACATATACCTTAAGAATGGTATAACAGAAAACTTTAGTGGCTTTAAAACCATGACTTTTCCAAACCGTGGTAAACCTTAAAACCAGTTATCGTCCCATGCTTAAATAGAATAAGATTTTTTTATGATTGCACCCTTATTATTGAAAAATAAAATCACACAAAAGCTCTTAGGTTTCCAATAGGATATTCATTCATTCATTCATTTTCTTGTCGGCTTAGTCCCTTTATTAGGCCGGGGTTGCCACAGCGGAATGAACCGCCAACTTATCTAGCACGTTTTTACACAGCGGATGCCCTTCTAGCCACAATCCATCTCTAGGAAACATCCACACACACACTCATACACTACGGACAATTTAGCCTACTTGATTCACCAGTTCCGCATGTCTTTGGACTGTGGGGGAAACCGGAGCACCCAGAGGAAACCCACGATATCGCAGGGAGAACATGCAAACTCCACACAGAAATGCAAACTGAGCCGAGGTAAAACCAGCGACCTTCTTGCTGTGAGGCAACAGCACTACCTACTGCGCCACTGCATCGCCTCCAATATAATATTTAGATGAAAATCAGACTTATTCTGTTTTAATAAAAATATAATCTAAAATATAATTGGAGAAGGTTAAAAGCTTTTATATTGTATTATTAGATTTTACAAGTTATGTTTTTTGTAATAAATAGGAAATGACAGCACAGTTTAGGCTTTTAATATGTTTATAATTGTTGTGAGACTACTGTGCTTGTTATATATTATTCTTCATTTTGATGTGTTTGTGTAGGGCTGTGGTGGAAACGGTGCATAAGTTGGACATTATAATCAGCGGCAAGTCGTCGTACAGGGAGGTCTTTAAACCTGAGAACATCAGCTTGAGGAACAAGTAAGCACAAGTTTATTATTTCTGCAACTTCATAAGACACAATCCAACATAATGCATCAGATTATGTTCCATTTACATTAAAGTGAGCTTTTTCTTTGAACTACTTTCACATGTACTTTCATTTAGAGATGTGCAATATAATGAAATGTACTCACCGGCCACTTTATTAGGTACACCTGTCCAACTGCTCATTAATGCACATTTCTAATGAGCTAATCACATGACGGCAACTTATTAATGCATTTAGGCATGTAGACATGGTCAAGAAGATCTGCTGCAGTTCAAACTGAGCATAAGAATCAGGAAGAAAGGTGATTTAGGTGACATTGAATGTGGCATGGTTGTTGGTGCCAGATGGTCTGGTTTGAGTATTTCAGAAACTGCTGGATTTTCACGCTCAATCATCTCTAGGGTTTATAGGGAATTGTCTGAAAAAGAGAAAATTTCCAGCGAGCGGCAGTTCTGTGGGCGCAAATGCCTTGTTGATGCCAGAGGTCAGAGGAGAATGACCAGACTGGTCTCAGCTAATTGAAAGGCAAAAGTAACTCAAATAACCACTCGTTACAACCGATGTCTGCAGAAGAGCATCTCTGAATGCACAGCATTACAAACCTTGAGGCGGATGGGCTACAGCAGCAGAAGACCAGACCGAGTGCCACTCAGAACAGAAAACTGAGGCTACACTTCGCACAGGCTCACCAAAATTGGACTATAGAAGATTGAAAAACATTTGCCCGGTCTGATGAGTCTCGATTTCTGCTATGACATTTGGATGGTAGAATCAGAATTTAGCATAAACAACATGAAAGCATGGATCCATCCTGCCCTTTATCAACAGTTCAGGCTGCTGGTGGTGGTGTAATGGTGTGGGGGAGATTTTCTTGGCACACTTTGGGCCTATTAGTACCAATTTAGCATCGTGTCAACCCCACAGCCTACCTGAGTATAGTTGCTGACCATGTCCATGCCTTTATGACCACATTGTACCCATCCTCTGGTGGCTACTTTCAGCAGGATAATAGGCATGTCATAAAGCACGAATCATCTCAGACTGGTTTCTTGAACATGACAATGAGTTCACTGTACTCAAATGGCCTCCACAGTCACCAGACTTAAATCAGTAGAGCACCTTTGGGATGTGGTGAAATGGGAGATTCACATCATTGATGTACAGCCGACAAATCTGCAGCAACTGGGTGATGCTATCATGTCAATATGGACCAAAATCTCTGAGGAATATTTCCAGTTCCTTGTTGAATCTATGCCACGAAGGATTAAGGCAGTTCTGATGGCAAAAGCGGTCCAACCCGTTACTAGTAAGGTAGTAATTAAGTGGCCAGTGAGTGTGTATTGAAATGTGTATGTATATTATGAGATCTCTTATATAGTTATATTAAATGTCTGTCATATTGCCCAGCCATACTGCAATTTTGTTTGAACATATTTTCTTTGTCTTATTTAACCAGATTGCGAGAACTTTGCGTAAAGCTGATGTTCCTGCATCCTGTGGATTATGGACGCAAGGCAGAAGAGCTGCTGTGGAGGAAAGTCTACTATGAGGTCATTCAGGTGATCAAGACCAACAAGAAGGTACATATCATCTCACTGGGCATGTTTCATTAGTTTAAAGGAGTTGTTTGCTGTTGCATTTGCCATCAGGCTGAACACCTGCTTTTATTTGCAGCATATTCACAGCCGCAGTGCTCTGGAGTGTGCCTACAGGACGCATCTGATTGCCGGGGTGGGCTTTTTTCAACACCTGCTGCTCTACATCCAGTCACACTATCAGCTGGAGTTACAGGACTGCATAGACTGGACACATGTCACCGACCCGCTCATCGGTGAGTCATGCTTTCATATGTGTCCCTGAAGCACTTTGCAGGGGTATGTTTGTAGGAGTAGCCAGCAATACATTGCATGGGTCAAATTGATAAGAATCGTTAAAATATTAAGTAAAGATCCTGTTGCATGGAGATATTTTGTAATTTTCTTACTGTAAATATGTTAAAATGTAATTTTTGATTAGTAAAATGCGTTACCAGGAACATAAATTGAACAACTTAAAGGTGATTTTTCCACAATATTTAGATTTGTTTAACAATAGATTTTCAAATAGTTTGGCCAAATATTGTGCTATCATAACAAACTGCATCAATGGACACCTTAAATAGTCAGCTCTTTAATTAAGCAAAAAATTGGTTATTTTCACTGGTTTTGTTGTCCACGGTCACATATATCTATATTTAAAGTAGCATTCTAGCATTCATTGAAAATATCAAGAAATTCTAAAGTTAAAAAAATGTATTGTATCGTAAAAGAAATTATGTTTATGTATAAATAAGTTATCAATTAAATCAATGTTAACTATAATCTTTGTATTCATATTTACAAAATATATACATTTGATAAGACTTTTTTACTTTAATTATTAAGTATGATTAATATATATGGCTATTGGTTGTTGTTTGTGAATGTCATCTTTAAAAAAAATAGCAGTTGTTAGGAAATTCATGACATTTTAATGGCAATACATTTTGGGAAAGGTAAAAGGAATAATTGCAATGTATTTTTAAATTTTTTTTTTTATATTTTAGATTTTATAAGAAAAAATTGAAGTAGTTTTTAGTTTTTTTTATTTTGAGTTGTGCATGTTATAGTGATAATAATAATAATAATAATAATAATAATAATAATAATAAACTTGATTTTTATATAGTGCCTTTAAAAGTATCAGCTCAAAACACTTTACTGACATAAAATGTGCAGCAGTAAAAGATGCATGGATGAATGCAAAAACTAATTAAAAACGCATAAAATAATAATAATAATAATAATTAACATTAAACGCGTTGTTCTGATAAATCAAATGTAGTCACGTTAAACTGCATAAAAATTTTACTTATACCTAGCTAGAATGCTATTTGGTTTGTTTTCCAGTTAACATTTATTTCGTGAAACAAATACTGGTTTTACTTTTAAGTTTTATTGGATAATTTGCCCACAGTGTCTGTCTATTTGACTAATTCTTCTGTTGTAAGTATGACTACCATAATATAGATGTTACAGCCCAAATTCACAATCACTGAGAACTTGAAAAATTTAGCAAAGTCAAATATTGTTATTGCTTTGGAAAAATCCACTCCTGGAAAAATCACTGCAGTTAAAGGTATAGTTCAACCCAAAATAAAAATGTACTCTGTTAACTTACACCCTCAAGTGGTTTGACACTTTAATGAGTTCCTTTAATATGTTAAACTCAAAAGAAGATATTTTGAAGAAAGCTGGAAACAGGTAACCATTGACTTCCATAGCAGGAAATACAACATCCGTGGACGTAAATGGTTACAGTTTTCCAGCTTTCTTCAAAATATCTACCTTTATGTTCAACAGAAGAAAGTCAGAGAGGTTTGGAACAAGTGAAGGCTGAAGGTGAAGAGGTTACTTCATATCTTAGTGAATGCAATTTTTTTTTGCCAGATCTAAAATAGAGAATTAGCTATGGAAATTCATTCTCTTTTGTTAGTGTCTTTTGACAGTTTCTCTTTAGTTTTTTTGTTTTGTTTAGTCTCTTTTGACAGTTTTTAAAATTTGTTGCTCAAATATTTAGAGAATACTATATCGCAAAACCTCTGGTATCCCACAGTATACTTCACAATGTTAACGTCTAGTAAAAGCACCATGCATGAAATTGTATTGTTTTTCTCTGATTAATGACTGTAGGTCGTAAGAAACCAGTCTCAGCCACCTCTAAAGAGATGGAATGGGCCCAGATGGCGTGTCACAGATGCCTTGTGTACTTGGGAGATCTCGGTAAGTGTGTTCTCGCTTGATATTAAATAATCAGCCTTTGAAAAGCTCTGTCTTGCAGTGTGATCTAATGTGATGATTAAACCGTTTAATTTGCGATTCTGCAGCGCGCTACCAGAATGAACTGGCGGGAGTGGAGGCCGAGCAGCTGGCGGAGCGTTTCTATCACCAGGCCCTGTCTGTCGCACCTCACGTCGGTGAGCGAGTCCTTGCTTCTCACATCCTCCCCACAACACCTTGCACTGGATGACATGCTTTTGATGATTTTTTTGGGGCTGTTAAACTGCATTTTAATTCTCGTATAATTAATTCACTGTTATTTTATTTTATTTGAATGTTATGTCAATGCGTTGAGGAAATGTTTTGTTGTTTTGTTTTGTTTTTCCGCAGGCATGCCGTTTAATCAGTTGGGTACGCTTGCCGGAAGTAAATTTTATAATGTGGAGGCTACTTACTACTACTTGCGCTGGTAAGGAAACATAGTTGTGCAATATTTATTGGCTGGGATAAATTATGTATGCGGTTTTAATGATGTGCGAGCTGACATTGTGTCACTCGCGTTGCAAAAAACAGATAAAACCGCATTCTGAGAGTCCCAAAGACTGTGCAATGAAGCCTGTTAAGCCTGGTTTATATTCAACGCGTCTGCTTGTTCGCTTGAGTGCGAGCGGTGAATGTGATGTCATCGCGAAATTTGCGCGCGACATGATCTCGGAGTGCATGTTTTTTTTTTGAGACTTGAGCAAACAGTGCTTCACGTGCAGCACCGCAGCTGATTTGAGTTGAATATGTAACACATTAAAGAGATTTTGTCTGAAACAGTACGACTGTAGAGATATCTTTATGATTCTTGATCATAGGGATAACCTGATGATCAATAATTCTTGGCTAGAAATTGCAACAGCCGTGGGAAAGGATGAGAGTTTTAGTTAAAAGGTTTGGAAAAACCTGAGGGATGAGTTTGTTAAAGCCAAAAAAGGCCATGGCAAAAGTTGAGAACCAGATACACAATTACAGAATATGTTTTTCCACCATTTATAGGTTTCACACTAATGTATTTTGTTTAATTTTGAATTTAAAACAATTTAATAGTTACAAAACTATAATTAAGGAACTAAATTTTTCTTTGATAACTGGAAAGGAATATCTGAACCTATCAGTTTACAACATACTGATGTCCTGTCTTTCTAGGCTTTATTGGTGATAATTGGCAGGAATGTTGGATCATGATTGCCTTTTTAGCATAAGTAGAGGACAGAAACTAGTCAGACAATAATGTGTCAATTGTGAAGCAGGCTAAAAAAAAAAAAAAAACATCTGTTTTTTTTTGTAAGTGTAATTTTTTGCTTTTATTTTTGCGATAATAAAACGTATAATTGTAGAGTACATGCTTTTTAGCATAAGTAGAGGACAGAAACTAGTCAGACAATAATGTGTCAATTGTGAAGCAGGCTAAATATTAAAAAAAAAACATCTGTTTTTTTTTAAGTAAGTGTAATTTTTTGCTTTTATTTTTGCTATAATAAAACGTATAATTGTAGAGTAGCCCGTGTTCTGGTGTCATTAATATTTTAATAAATTATAATAGGTAGAACTGTCCGAGATATGAACAAAAGCAAGTGATGCATCAAAGTTGGTTATACAAATATTTATCATCATTAAAATAATTTATTAAAGTAATTAGTTTAAAAATATTGAATGATATTAATGATAATGAAACTTCCTACTTCTCCCTTTATCCTTCTGATTTTACAGTCAGTTTCTTTTGACTTGTCTGTTTTGCGTGGTGCACCCGCAGTCAGGAGGTGCGCGATGCAGCACCAGGCGAAAGTATAAATCCAGCCTTAGAATAATGTTCAAGTTAGGAATTAAAAAATACCCCTTCCTTTTTTTTATATATATATTTATAAGATTTGATTTAATTAAAGGTGCCATATATTGTATTGGTCTAATAAGTTGAGTTGTTCTCTGATATCTACATTGTAGGTATATGGCCTAGGTAAGTTCAAACAATCTCCTGAAATGATTTTATATGCTCATTTATTACTCCATAAAATGCCCCTACAATCTGAAGCTCCATAACTGACCATATTTGGATTGGTCGTGTATATAAATAAGCTCCACTCTGACGTGCAGCTTTTACAGACACATACACACACAAACACTGCATGATGTATGCTGACCATGGAAAATAATAATACTTAATAACTATTTTAATGATAAATTAACAAAATATAAGATTAAATATACCTTATGCCTTTTTTGGAGTGGAGCTGAATAAATGTATATTCGAGAAACTAGAACGACGAAAAAATTATGTCTGAGGCTCAAGCTATGGTCATTTCCATATACAAACTATGCCTTAGTATACAAAGATTGTCTGTAGGGCACCTTTAAGTAGTATCCCACTGCTGTGTTAAGTGCTGTTTTCTTGAATAGCAGTATGTGAGTGATATCACAAATTATCACCTTAAAATTTTAACTTTCTATCTGACATTTTTGTCAAAATTGAGTTATTGACATTCTTATTAAATGATAACTTATTTACATTATGGGATTTCTTTTAAGTTGTTTACATTTTAAGACTTTTTATTAAAAAAAAAACTAATGTTACACACATACTGTTTGCTATGGAATGCAAAAACTTTAAAGCTCAATATTTTAAAATCATTCAGAACGCACATAGAACCTTATGATTACAAGGTGACAAAAACATGGCTTCATACAAACCAAGAGCAGAATATTTGTGGTTATCACAGGAACATTTTTGCGTTTTAATTATAAAAGATTCATTTGTGAATAAATCATTTGATTCAGGGATCCTGTCATAGTAACAGTGGGCTTGTTCAAACACCTTCAAGAGTTTGCATTTTACTGCTTATCAACTTTTTTGATTAACTTAAAGTGCTCTATAAATGCAAGTGTTTACACATTTATTTTAATTTCAATACTATTTGTTTTAATTAAACTTTTTAATGTCTGTCCAGTATTCCCTATAACGTGCAACACAATTTTGTAATGTCCAAACTGACCCCACTGTTTTGTTTTTGTACAATCAATTTCTATTCTGTTCTTAAGTATCTTAATGAGGACACTTCCGGACACATAACAGTACTTTTATATACTTACAATTTGACTGTATTATTTGTGTTTTCTATAAGAATTGCTCATGAGAATATTTTATTTATTGTCTCCCTCTGCTGTTAAATAAAATTTACGTCCATGGATGTTGCCTTAGTATTTGAAAGAATTTAGATTACAACTTATATGACTTTTTATCAGTGTTCTTGTTATTTGTATATATTTTTTGTACAATGAATAACTAAGGGTGCTTTCACACTTGGTTCAATTGCCGGTACCGTACAAAGTGAGTTTGAACAAATCTTTTGAATGAATAAATCAGTGAATCACTCATTAAGACCTACTGGACATTTAGGGTTACTTTTGATTTTTCTATGACATTCCAAACTCACCCAAGGAGCCATCTTTTAGCATATTGAGAGGCCTTTTTATTAAATATTGCACACTCCTGCTAAGAACACAATCCTATTTATTCATATAAAGTTAAACTATAGACAAAAAATGCATACAAAAGCGTAATAGTAATAATGAATGAGCTACATGACTGATCTTTTCTTTTCCTCCTTATGAACTGTGGTTTTGAGTGATTAGCATTCCAAGAATCTGATAACGCTACATGAACATGAGCATCTGGTTTGTCTTGTTGAACAGTATTCAGTCAGAGACTCCCTTCGACGGTGCGTATGGGAATTTAAAGCGTCTGTTTGACAAGGCATCCAAGATGTACCACCAGGTGAAGAAACAAGAAATGAAGAAGCTTTCACCATCTCGACAGAGGTGTGTTTCCTCTCTTATATACTTATAAAAGACCGGATGAAGGAATGTTTTGTTGGCCTGTCCTTTTGTGTTCCCGTGATCCAACCCTGTTTGACTCATTTGCCACCTCCCTTTGTTTAACAGCATATTCAATGGCCCCTCATAAAGGCTTTAATATTACTACCAGTATTTCGACTGTAATAATGACAAAGCCTATATTATATGCAGTGCTCCGCATATATAAGCACACCCCCACGAATTTCTCATTTAAATTAATATTTTCATAGAATGCTGTACAATATAATATTTGTGCATATACATGAGTTTAGTCAGAACTGAAGACAAATTTGGAGCTTATCTAACAAAATAACTTACAATAATGGTTCAAAAATGAGTAGCCTAAATCTATATGCTAGAAAAGTATATTAAATAAAATTTCATAAGTAGCAAAAATCAATATACAATTTTGTCTGTTATCTGTTTTAATTATCTGTTTAGCAAATCTGTTCAAATGCACCAATAAATATTACCCATATTCACTGAGAAATGGATAAAAATATTCATACAATCGGGTGTACTCGTATATGCTGAGCCGTATGTATGTATTAGGGATGGGAAGATTAACCGATATGTATCGATACGCGGTTATGCGCGTTCACGATGCGAGTGCATCGGTTGAGCAGCAGAGGATGAATGAAATTTTGGAAGCAAATCGAGATGCATCGGTTTTTGCGAGATGCATCGATTTTTCCGAGATACAGCTTATATTTTTAATATAGAATGTATTTTTTATTTATTAACAAGTGTTGTCAACCTGTTTTTGGCGCATAATTTAATCGACCTACATAAAGTAAGCCTTAGCAACGGATTTGCGGATGTGCACACACTACAACTCAGTGTATCAGGTGTGCGGATGAAGCTAGTGAAGCGCCCTCAGAAAGCGCGAGAAGCAAAACAAACATTTTATTCCCCACTGAGTTTTAAATCTAAAGTATGGAAAGCAACATTACGGATTTAAGGATGGACGACATGACAGGACAAATGCAATTTGCAAAATGTGCCGCGCATCTGTAAAATACGCGGGCAGTACGACTAATCTGATATCTCACTTGAAGCGGCGCCACGGTGTTATTGTGAAAGCATCTTCCAGTGTTTCTGCATCCCCGGCTTTCGCACTGCTTCAACCAGCTCCAAAAGTGGTGAGAAAAGCATTGCAAGTTTTTTTTTTCCATGCGCAACAGTTCTGCTCGCTCTACGCCAATAACGAATGCTATTGCATTGTTCATCTGCAAAGATATTCAGCCTAGTGTCACGGAGAACGAAGGTTTTAAACACCTCCTCCTGTTAATTTTTATTTAATTATAATAATAATAATATTAATAATAATAATGATAAAAATAATGGGTGTCACGGTGGCACAGTGGGTAGTTTGACCACCTCACAGCAAGAAGATTGCTGGTTTGTTATATTTTTATTAGCCTGTTGTTTACAGTGACAGTGATGTTTCAAAGCAGCATAACACTGCTAGTTCACAACCTTAAGTTTTGAATAATCAGTGGCAAAATATATCTTTGTAAAACTTGTTTTCATAGTTGAAAAGTTAAATCACAATTCTTGTTGTGCAATGCTAATTTTATTTATGTTGAAAGAGTGCAAATATATACATATTTTTTTAATATATATTGCACTTATACATTCTGTTTATCTTGAAAATACTTTAATAATATGTGCTATATGTTCTAAAATGGCCCTCTACTGTAAACTGACACTCTGGCTCTGAGAGAAAAGCCAGTTTGTAAAAAAAAGTCTTGGTTTTGCTTGGTTTATAAATAATCAAACTCATTCAATGGCACAGCATCCTCTTTCACATCATCTCATAAACTTGATCTAATTAGTTAGTTCTGAAATATCGCATCGTATCGTGATATGGGTGTGAATCGTATCGTGTTGCATCGCAATATGTCACAAATGTATCGCTAATATATCGGATCGTATTCTTTGTATCGAGATGCGTATCGGATCGGCATTATAGCTTAGATGCCCAACCCTAGTATGTATGTATGTATGTATGTATGTATGTATGTATGTATGTATGTGTGTGTGTGTGTGTGTGTGTGTGTGTGTGTGTGTGTGTGTGTGTGTGTGTGTGTGTGTGTGTGTGTGTGTGTGTGTGTGTGTGTGTGTGTGTATATAGTAAGAGCGTTTTATTTACTCGCCTCCTTTGCCATAGTATAATACCGCTAACACCCCTAATACATACATACATACATACATATATTAGGGGTGTTAGCGGTATTATACTATGGCGAAGGAGGCGAGTAAATAAAACGCTCCTACTACATAAAAAGCAGATAATTGTGCACAATTCACTGCTTGTAAGTTTGCTGGACAGTCTTTCATTGACACTGAAGAAGGTATAGAACGAGCCACTATTTCACTACTTGGGAAAAATGCTGTAAAATCTTTGCCTCACTTCCTCTCAATTTGGCCATTAAACCGCTGGGGTGTTCGTGAGATTTTTTGATTGTGAGACATTTTCTCTCCTCTTGGCTGTTAAAGCAATACTTTTGGATCCAGACCCGAGTGTGTCTGTGGTGCGAGTTTTTTCCATTGCTTCTATTACCGATTACCTGTGAAAGCCGCGAATTATGTGCATATAGACTGTAACCGTGGCTGTTCTTCCCGCATCACTCATCGGTGAACAGCGCTTTAATTTTAAAGCCAATCGCAGACCTTTATGTAAAAATTAAAGATGCAGTTCATATCTCACTGCTTGTATTAAAGGACAAAATTGTATTACAAATAATATATAAAAATAATTATAGATTTTCATAAAATTTATTCTTGTGTTGTGAAGAAAAAAATCTAATTATGTATGAAAAGCATCGTCAATGAACCATGATGCACAGAGATATCGAATAGGTTCACACCCCTTTTATATGTGTATGTATAAATATATATATATATATATATATATATATATATATATATATATATATATATGTATGTATGTATGTATGTATATATATATATATATATACCTGTAGTATGTTTTGTTATATCCTGTCATTTATTGATTTAAAATCTTGAATTACAAAAAATAAATGAAAATTAGGATTTTCTTATCAAATGCTGCTTTCTTAACTCTCCTAAAGTTGGTATTATCTTGTCTAAACGTGATGGTACATTTCTGAAAACATGGCAATTTTTAATTATTTTGTGCAAAAAAGCTTCAAATATAGAGTGGGCTGCTTTACATTTGATGCTTCTAACAGTACTCTACAGCGCCCTGGAGACAAGGTGGAGACTTGCATGGGCAAATCAGCTGTGATGTTAATCTGGTTGTTCTTGCTGCAGGTCAAAAGACATCAAAAGACTGCTGGTGAGCTTCATGTATTTGCAGAGCCTGTTACAGCCCAAGAACAGGTGAGAGTTTCAGCCTTAGTTCAAAACGTTAAATTATTTTCAAATCGTTAAATCAAATCAGCCTAATTGATTTCCTGTCACTCTTTTTTTCAGTCTGATGGAGACGGAGCTGACGTCGCTGTGCCAGTCTGTGCTGGAAGACTTTAACCTGGTGCTTTTCTACCTGCCTCTTCCTGCTCATGGCAGCCAGTCGGCCAGCGAGGAGGAGGAAGAGCACGACTCTGTTGGTTCTGTGCTTCCAGACAGCCTTATTTTCAAGATGGTGGTGATTTGTCTGATGGTGGTGCACAGCCTGAAGCGAGGGGGTGAGCGTGCACTGAAAGAACTGATTATGTTATTCAGTATCTGATGCTTATTTGTGCAGTGTTAAGCAAATAGATACTGCGTCAGCAACCTAAAAATAGTGTTGGAATTAATTCTTCAAGCATTTTAAGACATGCTTCATCATGCATAAGGCATATTCATGGTGAATGCTGCATTCTAAACAATTTAACATATTGTAACAGGATGAAAAATACATATTTGATTTATCTTTTTGGTTCAGACCAGCCAATATGTTCCTTTTTTTTCTCATTTCCTTACTTTTTTTAGCTATATAGTTTTATGTATGCTTTTTTAACATGCATATAGAGCCCTGTTATTTCATAATTGTAACCTAAACTGGTTTTCTCTAGTTAGTTTCTTCAATTAATCTAAAATACTTAATATATCCTTTTGTTTCAGCCTTAATTAAGTTAATGAAAAGCTTTTTTAATAGGTTTGATAATACAAATGCCTTCAAACAACAGTTCTAATCTTAATACCTTTCGCAAATGAAGCACTAACTCATCTGCTCATCTGTAATTCAATTCCAGCTTCAAAGCAGTACAGCGCCTCCATCGCTTTCACATTGGCGCTGTTCTCCCATCTGGTCAATCATGTCAACATTCGACTGCAAGCTGAATTGGAGGAGGGAGAGAGTGATGTCCCAGCCCTGCGCACCGATAACACTGGTACAGCTTTTGCTTCTGTGTCATGTTGTCTGTCTGAGTATAAGATGCTTTTGTATTTTTTATTTTTTTTTGTCATATCAGTGAAGAATTTAGTACTCTATTACATTGTAGCCTTATTTAGTTATCTTAGAAAGCAGCATGCTGGCTATTTTTTTGGTTATGGTGTCTTAGGGTGCTTTCACACCTGCCTTATTTAGTTCAATTGAATCGCACTAGAGTTAGTTTTCCCTCTTGGTGCGGTTCGTTTGGGCAGGTGAGAATGCAGCAATCCTACTTGAGTGCGCACCAAAAGCGGACTAATTAAGCATACCGAGACCTGCTTGAAGAGGTGGTCTCGGTACGCTTTCAAACAAACCCTGGTTCGTTTACAAAATAAACTTGACTGACTAAAAATTTAATTGAAAAATCATATTTAACTTTGAATATATTTTTGTGTGAATTTTATTTATTTATTTTTTAAATATTTGTCTAAGTAACTTTTATTGTAATACGAATTAGTTTTTGTCATGTAATAATGTTTTATTAATTTTGCCATGAAATAGCCATAAGTTGCTGATGTGGCTATAAATAACTAATAAATAGATAAACTTGACTGACTGCTTCACTTTAACACTGAATAAAGCACATAATCAGCACCTAAGGTGATCATTGTCATAGTAGTGTATGCTGTTGTTCAGCCGCAATGTTGCAGGAATAAAAATGTTTAGTTTCTAAAATAGACATTTTGTGCATTGTTGTCGCATGTGGTTTGGTCAGAAACTCTTTTTAACATGAAAAAGAGATCTTTTATACGCTGCGAGAAATGCTTTATTAAATTTTTGTGATCTTCTAGTCTAAATATCTTACAATTCTTAAATTAAGAGGAAATTTCTAGACATTTCTAGCCAAATATGTTAAAATAAAGTCAGTTTTTCTTTTTTTAAAACGACAATATTTTTTGCTTGTCTAGAAAATGCTTCTTGATATTTGGATTAGAAACTAGAATATATAAATATATATATATATATATATATATATATATATATATATATATATATATATATATATATATAATTATTATTATTATTATTATTTTATTTTTTTCTCCAGTTAAGCCTGTCGCAGTACTGCATTGTGTGTACTTGGGACATGGTGTAATAAGAATTTTGTAAAGCCTTTGTCTATTTTATTTCTCTTGTAACTCCTCTCTAACCGATGCATTTGTTGGCAGATGACGCTGATGCCAGAGATCACAGTAGTGCTGCTCTCTCAGAGGAGCGAACCCTGCAGAACGGCTCTCTGGAGGAGGATGACGATGAAGAGGAGGAGGAAAAGGAGAACGGGGAAGACGAGCCTAAAGGCAACGGAAGAACTGTGGCGACAAAGAAAAACCAGGAGAAGAAGAGATCAGCCGAGGAGAAGCAAAAACAGAAGCGGAAGTTCTCAAGGCTCTCCATGCTTCGCCGAAGACGCTGTGCTCACAAGGAGGATGAGAGCGACCTGAGTGAGGGCTTTGAGAGCGATGAAGAGGAGGAGGAGGAGGAGGAAGGTGGTGGCGGTGGTCTGGTTGATGGTCTGGGAGCCCCCAGGGTCCAGATGAACTCTTTAGGAAGAGACACACGGAAGGGGCCACTGCCGGAGGACGGCGGCTGGGAAAGCGGTTCAGAGGAGGATGAGGGTGGCACGGCTTTTGACGTGGAGACAGACTCTGACATGAACAGTCAGGAATCGCGATCGGATCTGGAAGACATGGAGGATGCTGAAAATGCACCACAACAGCCACAACAAGAGGAAAATGAGCAGCCGCAAACGTCTAGAGAGGAAAACGCCACCCCTCCAGTAACCAATGGGCCGTCTGTGTCTAATGATGCCAGTATCAGCAGTAACCTGCAGGCCATGTCCTCGCAGCTTTTCCAGGCCAAACGCTGCTTCCGGCTCGCCCCTACATTCAGCAATGTGCTGCTCCGCCCTGCAACTACCACTCCCCCTGCCCCAGAATCAAACCCCGCCCCAGTCCAAGAAATCACACCCCCTACTGGAGAAACGCCAAGAAACACGAGTCCAGAGATTGCAAACGGAACCAATGATAAGGGTACGTTACGTACACCCAAGTGATTTTGAGCAATATACTAGGGCTGCACAATATATCTATTCAGCATCAATATCACAATGTGTGTGTCTGCAACGGTCTAACATTAAATTGGGATTATAGCCGATCAACGATTGATAATGCATGAGATTTGTGAACGCTGCTTCATTCACATGTCTTTTATGCATTATTCCAGTTTTGCGCATAAAGTTAATTAGCATTTTTGGATGGAAACATAGCTATTGAAGACTAAACAGTGTTGTTTTACATTAGATTAATACATTTCTGCATCTAAATACTGTTTGATTCTCCAGAAAACCATGAAGATCTGTTTATTTTACTTTTTCTTTGCTCTATTGTAATTATTCTTACAACTTTATTTTATTTTTTTATACATCATACAAACTTTACAGAACAACACAGTCAATTGAATTTAAGAGTTTTTTTTTCACGAATAGTGCTATTTAAGCCATCTGGTGAAACTGTATCCATGTCACAATATACAGTTACAGCAAATTGTTGCAAACAATTTAGGGTCAGAATTATTAGCCCCCGTTTGAATGTTTTTTTTTTTCCTTTTTAAATAGTTCCTGAATGATGTTTAACAGAGCAAGGAAATGTTCACTGTATGTCTGATAATTTTTTTTCCTCTAGAGAAATTCTTATTTGTTTTATTTCGGCTAGAATTAAAGCAGTATTTAATTTTTTAAACACCATTTTAAGGTCAAAATTATTAGCTCCTTTAAGCTATATTTTTTTCTATTGTCTGCAGAACAAACCATGGTTATACAATAACTTGCCTAATTAACCTACTTAAGCCTTTAAATGTCACTTTAAGCTGTATAGAAGTTTCTTAAAAATATCAAGTTAAATATTATTTACTCTTATCATGGCAAAAATAAAATAAATCAGATATTAGAAATGAGTCATTAAAACTTTATGATTTGTGTTGAAAAAATCTTCTCTCCATTAAAATAAACAGGGGTGGAGGTAATAATTCAGACTTCAACTGTATTTCGCAGCAAAACAAAATATGACAGTCAGATTTTTTTTGTATCGTGTAGCCCTACTTTATACTGTTGTTCTGTTTTAACTCAACAAGAAGTATAATTGATCAGAAATACAGTAAAAGCTGTAATATTATGACATTTTATTGCAATTTAAAATAATGCTTTTGTATTTAAATATATTTTACAATGCTGTTCATTATTCCAGAGATGGCAAAGCTGAGTTAATTCAGCTTCTAAAACTAAGGTTATGTGATTTGCTGTACACAGATCCTGACTCTAATTCTGAGGGCAGCGAACACAGCAACCATTCGTTTCACAGTGAGAAAACTCTTTCTGAGCGACTGGAGATTCTGACCAATCAGGGTCTTATTCAGGTGGTGAAGGTGTTTTTGGATTGGCTGAGGACGAACACAGACATCATCCTAATGTGTGCTCAGGTAAATATGAATCTTGACATCATGGGGTTTTGCAAAGGAAAGTAAATGTTTTTTTAGTTCCTGTAACTGTTGGAAACCAGAAAAGATTTTAGAATTTTATCATGTATTAACACAAAAAATCTTATTTAATTTATGTTTTATTTTGTTTGTTGATTTTTAAATTGTATATCTATTGTTGAAAGATTCCTGCCATGAAGATAGCCTTGGTTGCTGACATGGCATTATATAAAAAATACATTACATTACATCCTGTAACTGTTGGCCGAAGTACCTGTTTTTTTTTTGTTGCAGTGTTTACACTTTGGATATATGAATTGTTTTAGTTCTTGGAATGCATTTTGAGGAGTCTAACCTATCACAATAGTATAATAATCACTGCGTGCAAAATGAAACACTGGCAAAGGAATATAATACTAGTCAAATGGCATTGTTATTTGACAGTTTTTGTAGGCGATTTTAAATCTTGATCCTTTTTTTTTTGCTTTCAATTGTTTAAAATATGTCTAAATTCATCAGCATACAGTAAAAACATAGCTTCAATCATGCCATTCTTTATCCTCCAGTGGTTGACACTGCTGAGTGTCTAGCTTGACTTTACTGTTGACCTGCTTCACTGTTACTTGTTTTGTTCCAGTTCAACCATCAACATGTTTCTAGGAAGAAATTTAGTTCTTTTGGGACTGCTCTGGTGGCTAGTTCCTATAACTATTGTGCATTTTGCTCAGTTTCCTACATGTTGTGTTTTGGTTTTACAGAGTTCTCAAAGCTTGTGGAACAGGCTGTCAGTGCTGCTTAATTTACTTCCCGAGGGAAGCAAGATCTTAGAAACAGGTAAAAAAATAAAACTATATTTATTACAGTAAAAATGTCAGTAATTTTCCTTGTGGCCTCATTTTCCCTCCCTTATCTTAATCATCTGCTTCTGTTGTAGATATAGGTCTGAATAAGGATGTAACGGAGCTTCTAAGTGAGTGTGAGCACCCTAGTTTGGCCCAGACGTTGTTGTTACCTGAAGATATGGCTCTCCGTCATCTTCCTGCCCTCAGCATAGCCCATCGACGCCTGGACTTCACTAGCCAGAGACCCCCTCTTACCCCCCTGGATGAGGTAAATTGCTCTTACTGCTCAGAAAATGGGTGTAGTGCCAGCTGTGCACTGTTGAAACTGTTAGCACTTTTAGAAAAGATTTAATTTAAACAACTTATTCAGTGATTTGTTTGTGTCGTCAATAAAAATTGTGCCACATAATAATAGAAATAAGTATTTATTTGTATAGCACTTTTCCTGCATATATGCAATTCAAAGCGCTTCACAAACAAACAAATATTAAAAAACAACATCAATACCAGGTCCAAAAAATTATATATAATATTTTATGCCATTAAGCATGTATGGAATTTAATTTTTTTATTTGAATTTTCAAACTTTAATATTAAACATCTGAAATTTAAGACAATTGAAGTCATATTTTTATATTATGTTCAAACTTCAGATTCTTTTTTTGCTCTGAATTCCTAGACTGCAGATATCCAGTTTGTAAAAATACAGCTTTAAGTATTTAAGATTCAATATTCTGAAATTTAGATTGTGAAATTCAGATAGCACAGATAGTTGGTCAGGTGTGATTAGGAGTAACCTATTATTAGCTCTATTTATTACTGTTGTTATTTACTATGATTTGTGCAATAAGTGCAGCATCATTTAGCATTACTGACATATTTTAATAACATGGAAAAACTCTTATCCCTCAGAATTAATAGTCCTCCTGAATTATAAACCCTCCAGTACATTTTTCCCAATTTCTGTTTAAAGAAATATTTAGAGAAAATATTTTTTTCAGCACATTTCTAAACCTAATAGTTTTAATAACTCATTTCTAATAATTGATTTCTTTTATCTTTGCCACAATGACAGTAAACAATATTTGACTAGATATTTTCCAAGATGCTAGTATTCAGCTTAAAGTGCCATTAAAAGCCTTTACTAGGTTAATTAGGCAAGTTAGGGTAATTTGGGTAATCCAGAACAAATATTGCTAAAGATGGCTAATTATGCTGACCTTAAAATGGTTTAATTAAATTAAAAACTGCTTTTATTTTAGCTGACATAAAACAAATAAGACTTTCTCCAGCAGAAATAAATAATATAGGAAATACTGTGAAAGATTCCTTGCTTTATTAAACATCATTTGAAAAATGTTTAAAAAAGAAGAAAAATCACAGGAGGGCTAATCATTTTGACTTCAACTATATAATAATATTAATACAAATTAGTAATTACATCTTTAAAAGGATTTGAATCATTTCCTCTCTTTAAATATTTGCTCATACTTGACTGTCATAATGCAGAGTGATGTATCATTAAGGGAAAATCGAGTTGCTTCATGCAGCTAATTAGAATGCGGAGAATTCATTCCATTACATAAGTGTAATTAACATTCAGTCTTTGGCATTCTCTCATGGTTCTCCTTTATGTGTCTTTTTCTCTGCGCTGTCCAGTGTGTGGTGCGCGTGTGCTGTATTCGCAGCTTCGGTCACTTCCTCACTAATCTCCAAGGCAACGTGCTACACTTCAACCCGGAGGCGGGCATCTTCACAAGCATCAGCCAATCAGAACAGGACAACCTGGTTCAGCAGGCCAAGGCCCAATTCCGCATGGTAAACAACATGACATTGAATTATAATGAAAGAAACGCACAAAACCAAACTATCAGTGGTGCAATAATAGCTTTGCTTCATTTTTTTGCCCTTGAAACAGTAAATCCGCTTATTTCTTTTGTGCATTCAGATGCAGCACTTCATTTGGTGGTTTTAGCAGCGGTAGCACTTAAATACATGCCAGAATAGTCATGGAAAAGTGCCTTTAAATGATAGGGTCCTCACAGATGTGTCTGCAGTAAAGAAAACGAGGCTTTTTTTATATAAAACCTCACCACATTTCTGAGCTTTTGCTTGAGAGCCTTATGTTGCCAAGCAACCGTGCAACCCTTATGGGTAGAACAAATGATGGTTGAAGTGCCACCTTGCTGTGCCGGTGAAGAGGCGGCTCTTTCTGGTACAATTTCATTAAAACCTTTAGGACCTGCGAATGAAAAGAGCTTGTCATGAACTGCCAGACATCCATGGATTAAGACTGTAGTCAACAGCACGGGTCTCGCATAAGACGCCACTATACCGTGACCACTGCAATCAGCATGAACTTTGCATCCCCGCTGTTAACCCAGCTCAGAGTTTGCATGATTTTCAGGAGGACCTGTTAGCTTTAGTTTGCATTTGAGTCCAATGTATTGTTTTGTTCCCGTAGATCTTGATCGTGCGTTATGTTTAGAAGTGTAAACAAGGAGAACATCCTCTTCATTTAGACTTTGATTGTTCTTTTCCTTTTTTATGTGATGTGTTGTTCAGTTATTTGTCTCTCGTGTAAGGCTAGTGGAAGCAAGGAGTTTCATACGTGAATCATTCAGCCTTTAGGCAAAATTCAGTGTTTTGAATAATCATAAAAAAGGTCACTTATGTAATGCATGCAGATACGAAGATAAACAAGCATCTCGTGTATGGTGTTGGATGTTAGCACAAACTGCCATCCTAATATAACAATAATAGTTTGTGATTAATATTTTAATTTAACTTTTCATATTTAAATGTGTTTAAAGAGTAATTTGTTTCTGCAATGTCAAAGCTGATTTTTCAGCATCATTCCTTGCATTACATTTGATAACTCTTTTATTATCATGATTTACAGCACCAGAAACATTATATTATATTATATTACAGTGGTCTTTCGCTATAACGCAGTTCAGTTTTTGGCGACTTTGCAGTTTTGCAGATTTTATTTATTTATTTTTACTGCGCATTGTGATCTGCGTCCTGATTGGCTGTAGACCATTGTCAGTCAATCTCCTCTGTGTCTACTGTACAGTACAGAATATGTTCAGCTTGCCAAATTAGCATGAATCTTCGATCGCTAGCAGTGTGAGTTCCAGTAAGGATGCAGAAAGGGTTGTAGCTAGGCATGGGCCGATATAAGACTCTGACGGTATGATAACCTTGGATAAAAATATCACGGTTTCACGATACCACAGTATTGTAAATACTGCTCTAAAATATGTTCTTTTTAAATTTTTGGGTAAAAAAAACAAAAACGTTTTTCCCTTTTGAACACAATATATTTTACTTTGAGAAACATTTAAAATATTTTGGAAGAGCAAACATGTCAGGCTAAATGAGTTATTGACTTCCGCTGTCTTCATTTGTTTCAAAAACAGATTTTTTTTTTAAACAGCATCTTTAGATATCTTTTCAGCTGGAGATACTGTTGTCCTAAAAAACAAAACAAAAAAGCGTAAATAAAAAATTGTACAGGTACCTAAGGAACGATATAGCAGAATATTTTGACCGTTTTAAAACCTTGACTTTTACAAACCGCGGTATACCTTGAAAACGGTTATCGCCCCATGCCTAGTTGTAACTGTCCCCAGCAGGACTATCATAAAGGGGGTGACACACCGGATGCGCCACTCCACAGAGAGTCATGCATTCTAGAATTGTAAACATAGGTTTATATCAGGGTACGCACACTGGTGCCCAGCTATGACTCAGGACACTGATCATATTTCTGCCGCACCACAGATCGCCATCTAAATAATTTAATTTTAAATCACTTGCGAATGTGCGCGTCTAGTGTGTGTTACTTCCAACTGTCATGTGCGTAGTGTACCCGCTGAGCGACCCCCTTAAGAATAAAGTTTGCTCTCGCCTTGTGGATCAGTGGCTGCAGAAAAAAGAACATTACGCTGGATACCAACATGATCTGCACAAAAACTAAAAAGTTTTATGAACCTTTTGCTGACAGTGATGAATGTTTATGCCTGACAACAGGTTTTGATCTTTGGTTTCATTTTATAATCCTGGACTTATTTTTATACGAAGCTTTAAACTTTGAGTGAGTTTAAACAAGAGAGAAAAGTGAAAACATTAATACCTGTCTGTGAAAAGTTAATAAAGTGTGTAGTGAGGGCTTTTACATCTTTAATACATCTATAATAATTGTAAAAAAAATAAAGAGGACTACTTCACAGGTTTCGCCTATTGCAGGCTATTTTTAGAATGTAACTCCCGCGAATAACAAGGGACCACTGCATTATATTACATTATATTATAGTATAGTATATTATAGTATATTTTATTATAATAATTGTGCTCCTTGATATTTTTGTGGATTATATTTATATAATATTAATAAAAATATAATTGATCCATATTGACTAGGTGTGTGACGAGATCTCGAGCTAAATCGCGACAAGATTTTTTTATCGAGGTGAAAAGTTGTCTCGTGAGATGTGATGTTATGATGGAGCGTGAGAGTAAATTAGCAGTGCATGTTGGAGGCAGGATTGGATTTAAACCGCAAATCAAGTGGCACCTGGTAACCCAGGCTGGTCTCATTGTTGCGTGTTAACACAACAGTAAATATTACATCTAATCTAAAGCCATTTTACATTTACAGAAGAACAAACACATGAACAAACTCTCTGACTTTATGTACTCTATATACATTATTCACTTGGAGTTGGAAAACAGCAAGGTGCTGTGTTTGTAGTTCAAGGTTACATTTCACTGCGGTTTAATAATTAATCTTACTATGCCCCCTTTAAGCTTAATCTTAAAACCAAATTCTCAAGGAATCATCGGGCTGTACCACCTGTGTTATCTTTATATATGTATTTGTCTCCATCTTTTTACAATATGCTACTCTCATGTGTTTTTCTCTTTTGGCAAAATATATACACAGCTGCTGATTCATACCTTGTGTTTACTGAGGGCAAATCCGAGTACTGTTATGAGGTTACACAGAGGTTTCATTGACCTTGTCTTGTCTTGTCCACAGGCGGAGGAGGAAGCTCGCAGAAACCGGCTCATGAGAGACATGGCCCAGCTGCGCCTGCAGGTCAGACCAGCTGTTTTTAGCTTCCATTAAAGTCCTTCTGAAATCAAAATTCAAGTTGTTGTTGTTGTTAGTATGAATATGTCATAAGGTTAGCTAGTATGCTCCAAAACAGTGACAAAGTTTACATTTAGAAGTAGGGCTGTGCGTTTAATCGAATCGCAATCTGAATTTAAAAAGTTGCTATTAGCTAATCGCAAAAGGGCTGTGAAATATGTATAGGTTATATAGTTTATGTCTGCCGTCATAAATTATGATGTGTGACTTCCGTCTGTGTGTGACAGTATTACTAGCCAATTGAGTGAACACACCTTCGTTCTGCCCAATCAGTATTGTGCAACCGAATTATGCGAAACCCCCAAAATAAAACAAACAAACAAACAAACAGGAAAGTGCGGACAAGTGGGAAGTCTGCCACTTCAGAAGCATTAACAGATGATTTTTGCTTTCAAAGTCACAGACACCAAACAAAAACAGGTCATTTGTAAGAGCTATCGCAGAATTGTTGCCACAAAACGAAGAAATACAACAATAACCAGCACCTAAAAAAGCACCACAGGTGGCTATATGAGGTGTGTTTCTAAAAAGTCGACTAAAAGTATTGCCAGTGACACTCAATGTAGTATATAGTTTTGAGTCTTTTATAACAGCTAAGTACAATTTCAGAGTTGTTTGCAGCTGTTACACCATATGAAAAATCATCACAAAAGCACCAGGAGATAACCAACGCCATAACTCACTACTGTTTGCTCTAGAGAAAAGCAAGTGTTTAATTTCTGAATATTTATAAACAAATTTGAATAAATGTTTGAGTTAGTTAATATCCTTTAAGTTTCTTTTTTAACTAACACTTACTGCATTGTAGCATTGAGAAGCTAGGATACAGAATATTCAGCTGAAGCTTGACTACGAAATTACATCGCAAATCAAATCGAAATCACAATATCTGTAAAAAAAAATGCAATTAGATATTTTCCCCAAATCGCACAACCCTATTTAGAAGACATAAATATTCAAAGCATACAATTGCTTATTTCTACCAATTAGTGCTGTAGGATGTTGGAAAAATCTGACATTACAGTATTATGTTTTGCTGAGATATACAGTTGAAGTCAGAGTTTTTTGCCCCCCTGTTTATTTTTTCCCCAATTTCTGTTTAACGGAGAGAGGATTTTTTTCAACACATTTCTAAACATAATAGTTTTAATAACTCATCTCTAATAACTGATTTATTTTATATTTCTCATGATGACAGTAAATAATATTTGACTAGATATTTTTCAAGACACTTCTATACAGCTTAAAGTAACATTGAAAGGCTTAACTAGGTTAATTAGGTTAACTAGGCTGGTTAGTTTAGGCAAGCTATTGTATAATGATGGTTTGTTCTGTAGACTTTCGAGAAAAAAATTGCTTTAAGGGACTAATAATTTTGTCCTTAAAATGGTGTATAAAAATTTCAAAACTGATTTTATTCTAGCCAAAATAAAATAAATAAGAATTTCTTCAGAAGAAAAAATATTATCAGACATTCTGTGAAAATGTCCTTGCTCTGTTAAACATCATTTAGGAAAAAATTTTAAAGTACAAAAAAATCAAAGCGGGGCTAATAATTCTGACTTTAACTGTATATTGTGCTATGAATATAATTTCACCAGATGATTTGAATAGCTCTTTGTTATTAATTAAATTTGGGAAGATTTAATTAATTTAGATCGACTGGGGGGATCAATTATTTTTCTATGCAGTGCATATTAAAATATAATAAAGAAAAAGCATATATAAATATGACAGAGCAAAAAGAAAAGTTAAATAAAAGTGCTTTTGGGCTTTTCTTGAGGGACTAACAGATTTCATGTACAGAAATTAAACAATCGAACGTAAAATAACATTTGTATAAATAATTTTAATATCATAATGCTTAACATAATATTATCTTCATTTTTGAGTCTTTAATAAATAATCTAATCCTGCGATGTGACTATTGGATGCACACATTGTGAGATAGATGCTCAAAGGATATATTGTTCAGCCCTGCTACCAATATGGGTTGATTTATTTTAGGTCGTCACCTCTCAAATTCTCTCATTAATAAAATGCTCTCTTGTATCTAAGACATCCCATCCCTATTAAAATGATAAATGGGAAAATAATAACAGCTTGTCAACACAGTGTTGATCTGAACTCTTCCACATTTATTAGCCAGAACAATGAGGGGAGGAACCATATAAAGCTGGGCTGTTGAAACGTGTTGTGCACAAGTACACATGGAGAGGGGGAAAATGCAGTGCACACATTAATACAGTCAGTATACAGGCAACTAAGACAGTTTAAATTTAAACATGAGGAGTCTCTAACATCTGTTGTGAGTGTTGTTCTTAGCCTTCTGTTGATGTCCAGTTATTTCACTTTAAAGGCAATGAAAAGCAGCATCGATTGCCTTAAAAGTGAAATTACTGAAACCCCGCACTAAAGCCTGAGAAAAATTCTCATTTTAGAAGAAAATATCAGATGGGACTTGGAGGTTTTTGCATCTGAACTCTACACATTTTAAACTCTTACACAGCTACAGTTGATGCATAGAGCAGCATGGTAGATAGTGCTTTACATATAGTAGCGAATAAACAATTCAGACAGTGTAAATATGCTTTCCATTGTGCTCAGTGAATGAAGTCTGGTTTCACATTAATGACAGGTAAACTGCTAAAGCACAGACCAGAAAATGTTTAGGACCCTTTTGAATTACGCTGAACAATGTACAGTATTTTAAAGTAGAGAAATGGTTACACAGGCACCACAATGCTGTTGTATGGTAGTCAACATATGAAGTGGATCAAAATCTTTCATCAAAGTTCTTCTAAAACTACTAAACAATACCCATTCTTATCTTAGGACAATAGGGTATATGTGCACAGCTAGTGTTTTTTCAGCCAACAATAAACCTACAGTGAAAAGGTAATGTGACTATTTTAGATTTCATAAGGTTTCTTTTACAGCATAAGTGTGGTAATTTAATTAAAATACAATCAGTTAAATAGACCTAGGCATACATTTAGTTGTTTAAGCATAAAACGAGATGTAGACCATGTTAATGCATGCGCCAGTAGCAGCAGGTTAGTGCCGAAACTCCATTGAAATAATGGGATAGAATAAATTGTCATGTTTTAATGAAATGGCGGGGGAAATGGAATTTAATTCAGTGCTTCTTGTCTGGTTTGAGACCCACTTTACATTGTTTATCAATCAGGTCTTAAATGTGGCGATTTTGTCTTGGTGCAACAGTTCAGCTGAAGCGATTGGGCTGGCTGACTGAACATTAAAAATCTGTGTGCATATAGCCCTCTTAGATTTTTTTCGATCCACTTAGCTCAACCAAAATTGAAAATTACCTTATCATTTACTGTCCTTTATGTGGTTTTAAACCTTTGGGTTTCTTTCTTCTGTTGAACACAAAAGAAGATATTTTGAAAAATGCTGGTTGGTTATACCCTTCAACTTCCATAGTAGCAAAAACAGAAGAATAGAATAGATCTTTAGCATTGTCATCATAGCCATTTGAGTTCTAAACAAACTAGTGTCTATACTCAAGTACATATTTCCATGTAATATTATAATAAATAAAACTGCCACTTTCCTAATCCAAAATGGCATATATATATATATAAACATATTTTTTATACATACTATTTTACATATACTTTAACATATTTCACTATCATAATGTAAGTCGAAATAGGAAACAATTCTTAATACAATAAAACACATATAATGTGTATTTGTAATGTAATGTGTATTTATTACTAATGTGTTTTCACTACTATGGAAGTTGAAGGGTGTAACAAACCAGCATTTTTCAAAAGATCTTCTTTTGTGTTCAGCAGAAGAAAGAAACTCAAAGGTTTAAAACCACATAAGGGACAGTAAATGATGAGGTATTTTTAATTTTTGGGTGAGTAAAGTGGATTAAAAAAATCTAAATGGGCTATATGCACACAGATTTTTAATGTTCAGCCAGCCCAATCGCTTTAGGTGAACTGTCCCACCATTACAAAATCGCCACATTTAAGACCTGATTTCTTTAAAAATCTGTGATTTTTCACTGCCTGATTGATATACAATATAAAGTGGGTCTCAGGCCAGACAAGAAGCACTACATTAAATTCCATTTCCACCGCCATGTCATTAAAATATGACAGTTTATTTTATCCCAGTATTTTCAACTGAGTTTCCGAGCTAACCTGCTGCTACTGGCGCTTGCGTTAACACGATCTTTCATCTCGTTTTACGCTTGAACAACTAAAAGGATGCTAAAGTCTATTTAACTGAATGTATTTTAATTAAGACAAGAATGAAATGTTGACTTTGATGAAAGGTTTTGATCCACTTCATATGTTGTCTACCATACAATAGCATTGTGGTGTCTGTAACCATTTCTCTTTAATATACATAATTCAGCATAATTCAAACGGGTCCTATACGTTTTCTGGTCTGTGCACGTTAAAAAAGAGTACATTCACTGTGTGGTTCTGTCACTGTGGTTAATCCTGTGCCTAAATGTATGGTATAGTCAATGCCACATGCACTGTGATGTGATTTGTTTATTAAATGTTTATTAAAAGTTACATATCACTGGAGCAAACAGCTGTGATGATGGGAGCACCGAGGAAACTGGGAAACCTGATTGCTCTTCTGTGACATTGGGGTACAAGTGATAGAAGTGTTTCTGTAGAAAAAACTAGAAATATGAGCAAATTTGACCTGCAGTTTGCTGATTAAATGAGAAATGAGTTAAAAATGGAGAAGCTGAAGTCTGCCGGCACTAAAGGTGAAAGAGTTGATAATTTAGTAGTGTACAGTTTATAAGCTAATCACAAAACTTTTAGGCTTGCTGAATTAAAATGGTAAAAATGGGCCTAGTGACGCCCATAGTTTTGAACGAGTGAATAATGATGACCGAATTCATCCGTTTAAATTAGTCTTACATTTCAAGGCATTCCAGGGGACCTTTAATGCATGCCATATTACTAAATGTAGTAATTTAACTGGCTTTGTGATGAATGGTTTCCTCGTGTCTCTGTGCAGTTGGAGGTTTCTCAGCTGGAGGGCAGTCTGCAGCAGCCTAAAGCCCAGTCCTCCATGTCTCCTTATCTGGTGCCAGATACTGCTGTCCTCTGCCAGCACCTGGGGCTGCTCAGACAGCTGGCTGCCAGCGGATGCTTCATCATCATCATCCCTCGCACAGGTTAGACCCCGGCCTCCGCCAGCAGTCTCCTAATGAGGGTTTGCACACTACTACGAAATCTGGGATGTAAACAGTGTTTTTCAAGCCTGTGAATGCTATGGAAATTAACTTAATTATTTTAAATGTCTCTAGTGAATACAGTTGAAGTCAGAATTATTAGCCCCTCTGAATATTTTTTTTCCTCAATTTCTGTTTAATGGAAAATATTTTTTCACCACATTTCTAAACACAATAGTTTTAATAACTCATTTCTGATAACTGATTTATTTTATCTTTACCATAATGACTGTACATAATATTTTACTATATATTTTTTAAGATACTTCTATACAGCTTAAAATGACATTTAAAGGCTTAACTAGGTTAATTAGGGTAATTAAACAAGTCATTGTATAACGATGGTTTGTTCTGTAGACAATCAAAAAAATGCTTAACCCTTTAACTACCCCACCAGGACAAAAATGTTTGTATTGCGTTTCTTAACTCTTAATGTCGCTAGTTAAACACTCAATGCATTTTTTTAACACATCCCATAATATCTCAAATATCAGCCTCTACCAAATGGTTTATGTCAGTTTATGGTAAAAGTATCGAACTTAATACATATACTATGAAAAATCCTAAAATATGAAGTGTTAGACCACTTTATTTAAAAATATATATTCAAAAATAAAACTTTTTTGAATTCTAAATCAACTTTATTTTTAAGTATGCCATGAAATATTCTCATTTAGATTATCAAGATTCTCATTTAACATGTTTTTTTTTCAACAATAAAACTAAATATAAGTATAGTAGTGCAACATGATTATGTTTGATTTTTTTTTTTTATTATTTATTTTTATTTTTTCATAACTAACAATGCTGTGTGTGTCGTTTAAAACAGTCATTCTTTAAATGATTAAACATGGTCAACCATTTGGTATAGGGGCAGTCAAAGGGTTAAGGGGGCTTATAATAATGACCTTAAAATGGTTTTAACACTTTTTTTTGTTTATTCTAGTCGAAACAAAGCAAATAAGACTTTCTCCAGAAGAAAAAAATATTATAGTTAATACTGTTAAAAATTCTGTGCTTTGTTAAACATAATTTGGGAAGTATTTGAAAAAGAAAAAATGTATATAGTCTAAACATTTTAAAACACTGCAGTTTTTAATGTAAATAGATCGTGTTTTTATTATCCAGATTCACATTTAAAGGAATAGTTTGCCTACAATTAGACATCATTGGCTTTCCTTCTCTTGTTCTAAACCTATTTGACTTTCTGTCCTCTGTTGAACACAAATATTTTGAAGAGAGCTAGGAACCTGTAACCATTGACTTGCATAGTATTTGTTTTTCTTATTATTGGTGTCAATGGTTGGAGGTTTTCAGCTTTCATAAAATGTTTTCTTTTAGGTTAAGCATACAAAAGAAAGGCAAAAATGTAATAATGAAGCGAAATAATGAGTGAATCATCATTTTTGGGTAAACTGTTCTTTTAGTTTAAGTTTTTTACTTTTTATTTTAAAAATAAAGTGTTAGATTTTTGTTATTGTGACTTAAAAGCTGCTTGTAAATCACGATAAAGTAAAAACAAAAAAAAGTTTAAAGCTTTTCACGAATCATTCTGAATGAATCAGTACCTTGTCATGCTGACCCAAAATGATCTTTATCTGTCTTTATTCAGTCTGAAAACTGGGAAGTTTATGGAAAGAAAAAAAAATGCAGTGGGAGGCTTGTTAATCATCTTGGCATAGATTTTTGACAGATATCATGCTTAATTTAATTGACTTAACATAATATTTACTCTAGTTTTTTTATCGCTATATACTTTGATTGATTTAACATCTAGACTTCTCCTGTTTGCTACATAAATGCAATAGAATGTAATCTCAATTGGGCATTTTGTACAGAAGGTGCTCACAGGCAGGAACGATCAATCGATGTGTGTTTGTGCAAATGGCTTGACTAGGATGAATTTCTCCTCTCTTGCAGTGATTGACGGTCTGGACATGCTGAAGAAAGAGAACTCTGGCGCAAGAGATGGCATCCGGTTCCTTGAGACAGAGTTTCGGAAAGGGAATAGGTACGTCTTGAGCTTAGCGATAGTAAGATTGTAGCTCCGTTGCAAACTGTAGAGCTTTGACCTGTAGAAATATGATTATAACATGCATTTGAATTTGATACAGCACCAATTTAAAGGGATAGTTCACGCAAAACTGAAAATTTTGTCATCATTTACTCACCGATGACCTATAGACATCACGATGCTGAGTCAGCACTGCACTCCTCCACCCCACCCCAATTGCAGGAGCAACCCACTTACGAAAACACACACTTAGGCCCTGTTTACACTAATACGTCTTAGTTTTAAAATGGAATTTTAGGATAAAAACGATCCACATCCACACTGTGTTTTACCTAGCATTTATGAAAACCCTTCCTTCAACACTATACCGCTGAAAACACACATCACATGACCACATACACACACTCTGGCATGCGCTTCAGCAGTATATGCGCACGTCTGAGCTCCAGGCAGTCAATATGGGCCGCTTTGAGCACAAAATCCCAGTGAGCAGTGCAGTGTGATAAATGCACAAATGGTCATTTATTCTTACTTTATTGTGCAACAGGTACATCCGCTGTCAGAAAGAGTCAGGAAGAAGCTTTGAGAGGGACAAACTAAAACGTCAGGACACAGAAGCCTGGTAAGTCACCTGATGTTTTAGAGCGTGAAGCTCTGTATAGTTTTCTGCATGCCCTGTATTGACGGTTGACTGTTATACAGGCACCTATATAAGATGGTGGACAGCTGTCGTCAGCTGACGGGATCTCAGAGCAGTGGAGATGAAGACACCGCCGGCATGGTCACCATTCTCACTGGACACTCATTAGAGGAGCTGAGTGAAAGATCGGCTTCCATGAAGGTCAGTCATGCACAAGACTCCAAGTGAGCTATTATGTAAAACGAGTTTGGTAGGTGCCAGACCATGTGGTTGTTTTTATTGCTTTGGTGGAGTTTCACTTCACTGGATCACCCTTTAGCAGTGACATTCATACTAAACTGATCTGAAGCGGTTTCAATTGATAGAGAACGACACCAGCATTCTACATTACATGTTGTCTCTTTATTTTTCAGTTAGGTTAGGCTGATTTGACACACTCTACATTGTGATAAATGCTATAGAAATAAAGATGATCTGAATTGAAATATTGGAAATGTCATATATTCACTCACTGGTCACTTTTTTAGCTACCTTGCTAGGACAAAGTTGTACTGCATTGTCTTTTCAGAACTGCTTTAATTGTTGATGGCATCGATTTAAATATAGACAGAAAACATTCCTCAGAGTTTTTGGTTGTTGACATGATTGCAACAAACAGTTACTCCAGGTTTTGTCAGATTTCTACAATTGCAGCACATTTCAAAGATGCTGTATTGGATTGAGATCTTTGGAGGTCATTTGTCTATTGTGCTGCCCTCCTTATATAACTTGACAGCAAGATAAACTCTTCTTAAAGACACTGACTCCTCGTCCATCCGTTTTTGCAAGAAAACGTGAAACTGTAACATACAAACAAGTAATCAACAGTAAGCTTGTCTTTCTACAGATTTCAGTGAAATGAAAGTCAATTAGTCACCTGGTTTACTATTAGTGTTACAAGTTTCATTCATCTACAAGCATGATCACATATGATTATATCACATACATTAATTCACTTTACTAATTTCAATATATCCAAATTACCTTTATAGGAACTTAAAAGGGGACCTATAGGCCCCACAAGTATAATAAGGAATACTCCCCATGATTACTATTAAGTGTATGCAAAAATATAACACCCCACAAATAATGTGCAAACATAGACAATGTTTTAAACAGTTAACACCTACCTGCAATGCTACAGTAGGACTGAGATAAATAATCGTACCACAGGATTGGTTTCAGATAATATACATGTTGCTCTCTGTGCCATGGTTATCTCTCTGTTACTTCCTGAATTAAGGCTTCTAAGCTAAAAGCAGACGTTTAAAGGGATTGTTCTCAGAAAAATCTGTCATCATTTACTCAGACTTGTTCCAAACCTGTTTGGCATTCTTTCTTTTGTTAAACACTAAATATGATTATTTTGAAGAAAGCTGAAAACCTGTAATCATTGATCATTTGCTTTTCCTTCTATAGAAGTCAACAGTTACAGGTTTTTAGCTTTCTTTAAATCTATAAAAGTATATTCTTTTTTTAGTGTTCATCAGAAACTCAAAGGTTTAAAACCACTTGAGAGAGGACAAATGGTGAGTTTTCATTTTCATTTTTGGTTGAACTTAACCTTTTATGTGGCAACAAAACTACCGTGAACTTGCTGTCATTTTCAAGAAACCAGTTTTAAATTATTTGCGCTTTGTGAGTTGGTATGTTATCCTTCCTGAAATAGACTGTTGCAAGATTGTACACTGTTCATAAAAGGTGGTCAGAAACAATAGTCCGGAAGGCTGTGGTGTTTAATTGATTGTCAGTTGGAACTAAGAGGCCTAAAATGTGCCGAAAAAATATCCCCATTGTACCACCAGCAGCCTGAATCATTTATACAATGCAGGATGATCCATGTTTCAGGTTGTTTATGCCAGACCCTACCTTCTGAAAGTCCCAGCTTTAGTTATGCTTTGTGAACTGTTACCACAGTTTGCATTTCTTAGTGCTGGTGTGCTCTTCTCCTGCTCAGATGATCTTCTACAAAACTCTGATCTCTGGCTACAAGACCATTTTTTCCATAGGACTGCTGCTCTTTGGATGTTTTCTGACCATTCTTTATAAATCCAAGATATGTTTGTTTGTGGAAAATTTCAGTAGATCAGCAGTTTCTGAAACAGTCAGACACCAACAACCATATGACATTCAAAGTCGCTTAATCAATTTCTCCCATTATAATGGTCACACTAAGTTGTCTTTACCATCTCTTTGCATATAAAGTTCATTGAGTTACTGCTATGCCATTGGTTCATTAGTAATTTGTGTTAAATACATAGTTCATCTGAACATGAATTTCTTTTTTTAATCATCCTCATGTCATTTCAAACATGTAAGACCTTCGTTCTTCTTCACTACACAAGTTAAGATATTTTTGATGAAATCCAACAGCACTCTGGCCCTACATGGAATGCAATAGTCATGACATTTAAGCCCAGAAAGGTACAAAAAATGTAGTCAAAAAACGTACACAAAAGTATTCCCATAACTTCTTAAAATAATTAATGTTTTCTTAATAGAAAAGTAACAATGTGATTCCAACTAGACATTGTAGATTTTGTTTTCATTTTCCACCTCTGTTAGTGTTTTTGGGGACTTCTGCACTGGATGAACCTTTTCATAGAACTGTTGCAGGACACTCTTTCACTCTAGTTATAGGAACATCTGTTTGGAAACTAAATTAGCTTCTTCTTGGATTTTTAGATTTATCATTGCACAATAGAAACTACCAGTGACAGAAGTGTACGCTGATTGTGCAACTGCATGGCATACAAAACATACTTGCATGACATATTTTTTTGACTTTGCAGCATAGTTCTGTTTTCTCAGCCTCAATGCTATGTAGCTCTGCAAGTTGTCACAGATGATTAAAACCTCCCTTTTCCTCTTTCAGTAGCATAACTAAAATATCTACATTCCATCTCTGTTTACATAATCTTTGTCATTGCCTTTTTGTATTTATTCAGCATATACATGTTTTTTTGCTGGCTTTTAAAGGGTTAATTCACTCAAAAATGATATTTCTGATTAGAATTACTCTCATGTCCTCTCTGGCCTTTCTTGGACAGTCATGAAATGTTTAAAATTTCGAAATATCTTACTTAAAAGAGTGTCATTTATGGTTTAACCATGATTTAATGATGCTACGAGAATAATTCCCATTAGCGCAATCACATGGCAGCAACTCAGTGCATTTAGGCATGAAGACATGATCGAGACGATCTGCTGCAGTTCAAATCGAGCATCAGAATGGGGAAAAAGGGTGATTTAAGTGACTTTGAATGTGGCATGGTTGTTGGTGGCAGATGGGCTTGTCTGAGTATTTCGGAAACTGCTGAACTACTGGAATTTTCACACTCAACCATCTCTAGGGTTTACAGAGAACGGTCTGAAAAAGAGAAAATATCCAATAAGCGGCAATTATGTGGGTGCAGATGTCTTGTTGATGTCAGAGAAGAATGGCCAGACTGGTTAGAGCTGATAGAAAGGCAACAGTTACTCAAATAACCACTCAATACAACTAAAGTATGCAGCATCCATGAATGCACAACACGTCCAACCTTGAGATGGTAGAGTCAGAATTCGGTGTCAACAACATAAAAGCATGGATCCATCCTGCCTTGCATCAACAGTTCAGGCGGTTGGTGGTGGTGTAATGGTGTGGGGGATATTTTCTTGGCACACTTTGGGCCCATTAGTACTAATCAAGTATCGTGTCAATGCCACAGCCTACCTGAATATTGTTGCTGACCATGTCCATCCCTTTATGACTACAGTGTGCTCATCTTTTGATGGCTATTTCCAGCAGGATAACGCGCCTTATCATAAACACTGAATCCTCTCAGACTGGTTTCTTGAACATGACAATGAGTTCACTGTACTGAAATGGCCTACATAGTCACCAGGTCTCAATCCAATAGAGCCCCTTTGAAATGTGGTGGAATGGAAGATTCGCATTATGGATGTGCAGCTGACATATTTGCAGCAACTTGCAATCATATAATCATGTCAATATGGACAAAAATCTCTGAGGAATATTTCCAGTACCTTGTTGAGTCTGTCACGAAGGATTAAGGCAGTTCTGAAGGCCAAAAGGGGGTCCAACCCGGTACTAGTAAGGTGTACCTAATAAAATGGCTAGGGAGTGTATAGTGCACTCATAAACACATGACCTGGACTAACGCAGGAGAAAAGAAACTGACAAATAAAATAATTCATGTTTCCCTAATATAAAAGCTACATTATTACACCAACATTTCCTAGTAGATTTCTTTTTGTCTTTTATTTGGACATTTTGTTCAAGATAAACATTCTGTAGTTCCTAGAACCATTGCTGAAAATACCTGCTTTTCAATGTGTTCACACCATAGGACCTGGTAACAATTTTAGTTATAGGAACGCCTGTAGGGGAACTGAATGAGTTTTTACGTAGACCTTTGGACCTATCAATGCACAATACAAACTAGCAGTGATGTAAGTTTATGCTGATTGGGCAAATCCTTCACATGCAAAACATCAACATAGGATTTTAAAGTGGTACAAGACATAAACATCTTTAAAGCTAATGCTGTCTGCATTTACATTTTGACTTTGCAGCATAGTTTTGTTTTTAGCACTGCTGTTGTCACAGGTGATTTTATCCTCCCTTCTACTTTTTCAGTCACATACCTAAAATGTCTACATTCCATCTCTGCTTACATAATCTTTCAGTCACTGCATTTACACAACATATATGTTTCATTTAATGTTATTGTTGGCTGGCTTGAAGGATTAGTTCACCCAAAGAAATGTTATTAATTATGCACACTCTAGTCATTACAAACCCCTGAGACCATTGTTGATCTTCAGAACACAAAAGAATTTATGTTTGGTGAAATCTGAGACCTGCCTTATCCTTTTTATACAGCAATGTTTTCGACTCATTCAAAAAAAATCCTTAGAACTGACAATATGTCTTATGTCAGTGTTTCTCAACCACGTTCCTGAAGGACCACCAACACTGCAGCTTTTGGATGTCTCTTGTCTGTCACACCGTGTGAATCAGGTGTGTTTGCTTATGGAGGCATGAAAATGTGAAGAGCTTGTGGTCCTCTAGGTACATGGTTGAGAAACACTGCTTTAAGTGTTTCAATCGGAGAGTGATCAGGAGATGAGAATACTTTTGCATGCACATAAAACAAAAATAACAACTTTATTCAACAGTTTCTTCCCCTCAGTGTCAGTATAGGGGGCACATTCATGAAAGCGATGTGCTCTTTGTGAAGTTTATTTATAAACTAATTTCACTGGCTTATGATTGACCGTGGCTTGTCCTGCATTAGCCAATTCATTGTTCACCAATCAGACCATTCCTAACTCACCGTAAATAGCAAGAGTTATGTACCTCAGTTATCTTCACCTTGAAGAATCCCCTCCACCCCCTTTCTTCATCCACTTTTTCTAGATAGGGTGGCATGCTGGCCCAGTGGTTAGCAAATTTGCCTAACAGCAAGAATGTCACTGGTTCAAGTCCTTACCTGGCCAGTTGACATTTCTGTGGGGAGTTTACATGTTCTTCGCGTGCTCGCGTGGGTTTCCTCCGGGTTCCTCGGTTTCCTCCTATTTGGCATAAAAGAATTGACTTAACCAAAATTGCCACCACAGATGAGCTGTAAGTCAGCTGTATATCTCTTCATAGCAATCCCTAATTTGTCTTTAGCGAAAAATAGCAGGGGAGTTCTCGAGATCTACATGAGCTCAAACTCCCCTCTACCCTGCAAACGGGAGGGAGCCCTGGCCACGAGGATCTTATGAGCTAAGGACAGCTTGCCAAACACTAGGGGTGTAACGGATCACGGTTGATCCGTGATTTGTATGGATCGTAACCCACGGTTTGGAACACATGGCCAGAGGATTAATAATTTTTTTATTAGTGGGTTAATCCTAAATTTATAACAATCACAGAGAGATTGCCCCTCGCATTATTCAAATCACATGTATGAAAGCGTTTAGGCTTGGCTGTAAAATATTATGATGACAGAAGAAGTTGTGGTGTGTTATTCAGGATGTTGTTAGAAGGTGTTGGTTATTAATTTGTGGGTTGTTAAAGGTGTTTCTGTCACTACTTGTTTAGCTACTTGTTTAGCCTTAACTGCTTGTTTAGCCTGCATTAATGCATTCATGTAAGCTGCACTATTAATCTTTAAAAGATCAGGATCTCAACACCCACGCAACATAAATGATGGTTATTTGCACATGTTTATTAATCCTTCAAATCGCTGCATTCAAATCTGAAAACGCAAAAATTACTAAAGAGATTGAGTCTTTAGTCTTTTGAGTTAGTTATGAATTACTGGCAAATAATACAGAAGTACTGGAATAACAGTTTATAATTTTAGATAAAACTACTGATGCTTATAGTAAAGATTAAAATCACTATAACTACATTCAAATATGAAAGTTGTAGCCAGCAATTACATTATTTAACCAATAGGTGGCCACAACCAGCGAACAGAAATAAGCCACTGAATATTTCTTCAAAAATGACACATCTAGCAATGAAACATGAAGTTTAATGAGTAAAAAACATAATCATTTATTCAAAATAAGGCTAAAAATAAATATGGGTTGTACAAACTGTAATGATAAATTTCTACATTTATTGTTATCAGCAACAGCAGTTGTAACAGTGAAGTTTTCACAGTACTGAATATGTTACACTTTATTTTTATTCAGCTGATTATTTCTTCATTTTATTTAATTGATAGAATGACAGGTTCGAGGTTCTGTTTGTTAAAACTAAAAGTGTCTTGCAGTAATATTTTGGTAATAAATGGAAGGCAAATGACATTTGTCTCCTCCCCTTTTTGGCTGATCCGAAAAGTTGTGCGATCCATGACTAAAAAAACCATAATGTGATCCAAACTGTGAGATTTGTGATCTGCACACCCCTACCAAACATGCTTTATAATCAATTATCAGCTAAGTGTGAACTCTTGATATGTTGATTGTGCTTGATCAGACTTCGGATGTGTCTGTGCTCAGTTTCAAACAGAGGAAGCAGTGCTCGGGCATCTGAGGTATACATCAGTTCTCATAAATGTGCGCAATATACTGACACTGAGGTGAAGAAACTGTTTTTAAAAAGTAGTTAAATTTGCTTCTTAATATTCCGATTGAACCACACATGGACAACATGGACTGTTTTGATCATGTTTTTGGTAGCTTTCTCACATAAAAAAGATCTTGGATTTAAAATAACTTGAGAGCCAGTAATTATTGACAGAATTTTCTTTTGTCCCTTTAAATCACATTAAAATTATCAGGGAAAACGATTGTTAGAGTATAAAATAAAGGACCGGCTTGGTGGTTAGTTCCAGTAACTGAGTTCCTGTAACCACACTTGTTTTACTACAGTAGAGTCATTTTGTAAGAAGTTGTTCCGCATTAACATTGTTTGTCTGCTGATATATCTGCAGGCGGCTGTCCAGGCGGTAGCAGCAGCAGGCATGGAGCTAAAAAACATCATCGAATTTTACCGGCAATGGAAAGAGATGGGCTGAGAAACGGTGCGGGACGCAGGGGGTGGACTCGGCATTCGCTGATCGCACACTCACTCCCCCTCACTCTCTCTATCTCTCTCGCTCTCTCTCTCTCCCACTTTGCTGCTCTGTCTGTATATGTGTCTCCAAGACAAAAAAAAAACTCAAAAGATGGAGGGTTGGGAAGGAAGGAGGTGCAGAAAGTGACGGGAGAAAAGAGAAGTCAGAGGCACAGGGGCTTAAAACGTACAGCAGAGCCTCCTCAAACCCCACGCAGGAGGGTTAATAGAAGCTAAAGGGGTGAAATAAAAGTGCGCCATAACCAGGCAGATATACCGATGAAATGAGTGTACATGTTTTTTTGAGAGAGAAACGAACATTCATGTGCATAAACATCACGAAAACCATAAAATCGAAATATATAGAACAAGTTTTTGGATGATTTTTGTTTTGTTTTCGTCTTTTTGGGGATGAACCACCACCGATATCTGTGTTGGAGAACACAAGTCATCCTGTCTAGCGTTTACCCTAGGCTCTGAGGGTCACGACGGATTCAGGGTTTAGGGTGTACACTTCTTTTTTTTGACGATTTGTTCTTTCTAACGTGGCTTTCCCCCAATTTTTCTTTTCTTTTCTTTTTATTTTTGCTGTGTAACTTTGTGGTTTAATGTATTGTGTTATCTGTGTATGAGCAGAAAGTCTGGCAAAATGGTTGCTTTTATTTGATTTTATTTTTGTATGTCGTACTATTGCCTTTGTATGCTGTGCTGAACACACAGGAATGAGACGTCATCTGACTCGGGTCACACGCGGCTGAAGAGTTTCTGTTTAAAATGAAACTACAGATGCTTGTCAGCTGAATCTAGTTCCAGCCGATCGCCATCACATTCTCATAGTAATTGTCCCATATTGCACATTGCAAAGGAATCCAGTGTATGTGTGAGGCAGTGCATTAAACAATAAAAGATTTCATTTAAATGAACATTGTCTCTTTTGTCTGTTGTGGTTGTCAAGTCAAGTTTTTTTCTTTAAGGTGATTGTTGGTGAACGGAAGTGCTTTACTTTTAGACAGTGGTCTCAAACTCTCTCAAAGTCTCTAGTAGACTTGAACACTTTTATTAGTTGGATCAACTGTGTTTGATAAAGGTTGGAGCAAAACTGCAGAGCTGTGGCCCTCCAGGAATTGAGATCCATGCCTTTAGAAAATGTTCGACTATGGTTTTAGTTTTTATATTATCTTTGACTATTATTGTTTGACTATATTATTATCTGTTTTGCAATTTAATTTATTCTTTGATAGTGTTCAGTCTAATATGCTGATATTTTATGGCACACTTCAAAAAATAAAGATGGTTTCGTATTCAAAAATGGTTTATTTATTTATTATTTTTTTTATTAATTAGTCTTACACTTGATAATTTTAGATTTTTCATAGCTTATGTATTAATTCCAGTTCTTTTACCACAAACCAACATATCAAACATTTGGTAGAAGCTGATACTTTAGAAATTATGGGATGTGTTGAGGGGGGGAGGGGGGGGGGAAGCATTGTTGATGCATGAATTAAGAAATGCAATCCAAACGTTTTTTTTTTTTCTTAGTGGGGCAGTTAAAGGATTAAACAAAATTGTTTTTGTTTTTAAGGATAAATGCATTTAATAAAATATATATATATATATATTTTAAAGAAAGAAATTTCCTTGTCAATTGTAAGTTTAAAATGATGCATTGTTCCACAATAAGGTTTTTTATTGATTTATTTGCATTTATTTTATTTAATGATTGGTAAATGTAAGGAAGTCACTGTGTTTTCAAGATTATTTGATGATACTTTGAACAAAATTAAGTTTTTTATTAAATGGTATAAATGCCGTTTCTGACACTTAAATGCCATTTATATATATATATATATATATATATATATATATATATATATATATATATATATATATATATATATATATATATATATATATATAAACAAACAAACACACATAGGGACAGCATTAAAAAACATGGAAAGTTGGGGTTTTTTAATGTACTTTGACTTATACTTCGTTGAAGGCAAAACAACAAGTGAAGTTTTAGAAACTATTTTCGAGAGGATCACATGCTATGATTGATCACGGCTGGTCCTGTTGCACAATCCTTGTTAAACCAATCAGGTGAATCCAAGTCTAAGCCCCCCCCCCCCCCCCTTTCCTCTACCAAGGTAAGCTCTTAAGACCTTCCTGATCTCGGACCCCCTTCTATACTACATGACCAGGTGGGAGCCCTGGGCTCGAGTATCTACCGGGACAGCATGCCAAACCTGCAATCAGTATCAAGTACTAGCTAAGTGTGAACTATTCAAACATTATTTAATTGTTTATAATGTTTTTTTTTTTTCTAAATAAACACACATGTATTTTGGTTCTTGCAAAACGTTTCATAACAAGTTGGAACAGTGAATCATTTAACACTTTGTAATGTTGCCATTCCTTTTCACAACACTGAAAAGACATTTTGGGACTGTTCTGCAAACAGTAAGGGGTCTTCATTGTTGCAGTTTGAGCTTCAAAGTGCACCACAGGTTCTCTATTGGAGGCAGGTCGGGACTGCAGACAGGTCAGTCAACTTTGGACATTGTAATGTGTGCAGAGTGTGGTTTTGCATTGGCTTGTTGAAATATATATGGAAAAGAAGGCAGCATATTGTGTTCAAAAATCTATTTTTCAGCAATAATGATGCATCACAGGAGTGTGTTGGAGGTCTAAAGGACAGTAAAGGATGTGATACAAACGAAATAAAGTTGACCAGACAAAACATGAAATATGTTGTTTATATTTTCTGCAATGAAACACAAGTCAAAGTAAATTTGGAAATCACTACTTTTCTATATACTATATGTGTTGTTTTGCCTTAATAGTTTATAATTATATTACAAGTATTGTAATTTTTTGTTCTAACTACATGAAAATGTATTTGTGATTTAGGAAATTAGAAAAGGATGCTGTCTTAAAATATAAAGAGACTTAAATATTGAAAAGTAGAGAATCCTCCATAACCTGGTCATTCTCTCTCCTGCTCCAATCTCTGGCTCTTAGTGTCTGGTTGGTTTAAGTAGGTCTGTGTGCCCTCATTCAACCACGTTCCCTGTCTCGTGCCCTCAGTGGCTCTGGGCCTTCAGCCGAGGTCTCATTGTGGCTTTATGGCCAGTTCTCTGGCAAACACCCCAGTGCCACACTGGCAGAGAATGAGGCTCTGACCCACTTATAGAGGAGAATGATTCACAGTCCAGTCCAATGACCAAATGTAACCTAGGGAGGATGTGAAGAAGATCGTCTACCGCAGATCAAATCTAAACTCCCCTTTCACTGTGTTTGCTAGAGTGGATGCAGCTTCAATAATCAGAATTCAAAGCGTTTTCCTAACAGGCATGGATGGCCATGCTCAAAACATCTTCCATCTTAAATAGACCGATTCACCCTACTGCCCTATCTTCGTTGTAAAAAAATCTCCCCTTCCACCCCATCTCCTTCTTTACCAGAGGGAGCTCTCGAGACCTACCTGATCATGGACCCCCTACCTACTGCTTGACCAAGAAGGAGCCCTGGGCTCATTTATCTCTGAGCTCAGGGTTCTCTCCTGTGACAGCATGCCAAACCTGCTAATAGCATCAAGCAATATCTGTGTGAACTCTTGAAATGCCTGTTCAGAGCCAGTAGGTGGCGAAGTAGTGAACATTAATTAATAAATGGTTGACTCGACTGAATCTTTTTCGTAAATGATTTACAATTTGAGGGTTTTTTTAGGTATACAAGAGATATAGAAAATATATTGTATAACAATATTGTATAACAATAATTAAGTTGAACATTACTAAATTTAATTTGTTTAAATTACGCCCATATAACTAGTTTGCTATCACTTAGGCTGCCTTAAAAAAGTGTAGTAAATCAAACAGAAAAACCTTCGCCCCTGGTTAAGAAGCGACTTGTCATATTCAAATTTACATTGAGCTTTTTGTAATTTTATGAGAGCTGTACATTATATTAGTTATTTTTAGAGTGTCGTACATTTTATTCTTTTAGCAGACATTTAACGCATTGATGCACTGAAAAATGTTCATTGGTTTAATCCTACTATTTTTTTAAAAGTAAGTGGTTGCGAACAATTTATATGGGCTGATTTTAAACCAACAGATTTAGTTGAAAACGACTACATTTAATTTGTTTGTTTCAAAGTTAGCCCATATTGTTTACAACCAGACTACCTTAACAAAATAGTATATTCAATGAATAATTATTGTGCGCCTGGTTAAGAACTGTCACGTGCAAATTTACATTGAGCTTTTGGCATTTTTAGTGTTGTACATTTTTATTCTTATATGCTGAATTTAAACAAACAAATTAAGCTGAATATTACTAGATTTAATTTGTTGAAATTTAGCACATATAATTATTGCAACCACTTAGTCTACCTTAAAAAAATTGTTAATTCAAAAGAATAATTGAATAATAATTCGCACCTGGTTAAGAAGCGTCGCGGAAATTTACATTGAGCTTTTGGCATTTTTAGAGTGCCGTATATTACATTTGTCATGATTAGGGTGGCATACTTTTTATTCCTGTAGCAGACATTTAAAGAAATGACGCACTGAAATATGTTAATTGGAATTAGCCTACAATTTTTTTTAAAGGTAAGTGGTTGCAAACAGTTTATTTGGGCTGATTTTAAACAAACAGATTAGGTTGAAAATTACATTAATTTGTTTAAAATTAGCCCACATAAATTGTTTGCAACCATTTAGGCTACTTTAAAAAAAATTGTAAATCCAAAAAATAATTTGTTCACGCCTGGTTAAGAAGAATCATATGCTATGCAAATTTAGCTTGAGCTTTTGTCATGTTTAGAGTGCCATACATTTTATTCTTAGCAGACATTTAACGCATTGATGCACTGAAAAACATTCATTGGAATTTGTTTTTAAGGTAAGTAGTTGCAAACATTTTAAACAACCAAATTAAGTTGAACATTACTAAATGTAATTTGTTTGTTTGAAATTTAGCCCATTTAAATTTAAAATAAAAAACTTTTTTTTTTTGTTCTCAGTAAATCCAGTTAATATGTTTTTTTTTTCATCGCTCGTCATATGCAAATTTCCATTTAACTTTTTGTCATTTTTAGAGTGCCGTACATTTTATTCTTAGAAACGGATCGTAAAAGTAGCCGAACGGGTTTGTCGTCTTTGTGCTCGCTGGTCTCCTGATTCTGAACACTGGGCTTCTTTCATGTCTCCATCCAATGGGCGCGTGCTCGTGCGCGGAGGGTGGGATTTCGACTGCTGTTTGTGTTCCTTTCCCAAGGAATGTGAGAGACACAAAGTCCGAATGATTCTCGGGACTGTCCGCTAACTTTAGGATCTGGTTCGGCCATGGACCAGTAGCTATTCGCGCTTCTTTTTTCCATCAACCGTAACTCTTCGGATCCCAAACTGGCGACCTCACATCTCCAGCTGGCACGCGCAAATGAGCTCATAGATCAGATCAAGCTCAAAGGTTTGGAATCATTTTACGTCAAGTTTTGCTCTTTCTTCCACATTAAGCTTTATGTTGTTAAAACTGTGGAAACTTTATATGCTTTATAAGCGTAAAACTATAACTTTCAATATAATGGAACGCTTAATATAAAATTGTAGTGTATTACAAATACACAGTACAGTCATTCAGGCGAAAATGTGAGGGAGAAAATCTGTATACTTACGTTAATTTGGAAGGTTGTGTGTTATCATGTTTAAATGATCAAGTTTAAGCATCTAAAACTGGTTTGCAAAGTTGAGGAAATGTTTTTGCGAATTGTGGAAGTGTTGAGTTGACATTGAGCACCTCCTCATGGGTGACTGTAGCTATATATACTCTTATAGCATGCATATGGTTGGAAAGCATGGCTGCTTTTTGCAGAACTGACCGACTTTTCCTTGAACACATACACATATGGTCTATACAGTGCAGGAGTCCACGTGAGTAGGCTTCTGTAAGTAATACAGGGCCTCTTCCTAACTCTTCTTACTGTTCTGACAGCAGCAGTCTGTCTTGGTCTCTTGTTCTGCTGGACGCTTCCACGTTTCCACCAGGAGATATGAAGAAAGTGACATGTATGTGCTTCTCTTGTCTTATTTTAAAAGCTGTGTGGAGTGTCATTGTCAAGTGGTTTTAAACTTTAATAGTAGCCACTGTGCTGCATTTTCTGCTTTTTAGCCTATCAAACAATAGCAAATAAGTAGAAAAAAATAAAGTGTTTTGGAAGTTGGATTCTGCAGTAAATGCTGTTTTTGGCTGCATTTAATTTTATTAGATGGCAATGATCTGCCAAATATGGTTATCCCTTGTGAGGGACATTTTCTTAGAATATACAGACAGCTGTATATTATAATGCATACAGATGCATTTGTTTCAATTTCAGTAGTAGTACACTTAAATATGACACATTGTATGCTAAATTTAAGAAATTGTTGAAATATTATCTTGGAAATTTTTAGGCCATTTTTTGGATGACACAATATATTTTTGACAACATCTATTTTGTTTGACGAGTAGAACGCTTAATTATGAGGAATTTTTTGCAAAATTTAAGTAAATTAAATTTTTGTGTTATCTTGAATAAATGTAGTTGTTGAAATAATAATATACATTTTAACTACTTTTTTACTCATTTTGGCAATTTATCTTAAAAAACATGAAATTTTAAAACACAGACATAGGAAAAAAGGAAGTACGAAGTGCACATTCCTGAAAGCAATACCATTATTGTTAATGTCCAAACTACTAAAACACTTTATAAAATGGTAACTTCATGCACTTGTGACTTACATGTTTAGTCTATAGGCATGAAAGGCAATTGGGCCAAGAGTCTTTAAACCCAACACACTGAATAAATAAATAAATAAATAAATAATGGGTAAGCAAGCATGCACATTTTGTTTGACTGTGTGAAGGCGTCAAATTTAATGGACAACAAAATAACGTCTGGTGTTTGCATATGCACTGAAAAAAAAGTTATTATTAAGACAACAAATATTTTGTGTTGCTCTAATTTATTTTAATAAGTTAATCAGGTTTCATCAAAAAATTTAAGTTATACCAAATTTAAATGTAAAAATTTAGTCAGTTTGATTGATGTATGTTGAGATGACTAACCAATTTAAGTGTTTGTTTTCAGTTTAGCATCACTATATGATTCTCAAACAGATAAATGTTTTTATACATAAATCCCAACATAGCATGTAAATCCTAACATAGAATATGCTAATATAGTCCAAATATAGTTTCAGGTTGTGTCGACTAGATCAAATTTCATTTCGTTTAAAGACTTTCGGCTTCAATTGTTTTCTGAGCGAGTAGTTGAGCGCTAAAACAACAGGACTACAGGAGTGCTTTTGTGCATGTGTGCAGTGTTTCTTTTTTACAAAGTGCCATCGCCATCTAGTGGCCTGGCAGGCATGATACAGCATTTTGAGTCATTATCACGGATATGTGTGTGAAAGCAATTTGTTTGATTTGCAGTTTAAACGTTGTTAGTCATGGAAATCTCACTTAGTTTGTGTTGTCTTTTTTTCTGAATGCATTTGGCTATTTTGCATTTTGGTGAATTAGTGGCTAATTCAGAGAAGTATGATTTTTAGATAAAAAGCTGGGCAATAAAAGGTTTTAAAAGGTTTATTTTAGGCAATAAAAGGTAATTTATGATTAAATTGTTATGAATGTTATAAATGATTCATCCAGTAACAATTAGTGACGTTTAATAAAAATGTAAAAGCTAAAATAAACAAACCCTAACAAACCTTTAGTGAATAGAAATAGAATTAGATGTTTAGAATTAAATAAGATATCTAAACATATATATTAAATACAGTTAAAGTCAGAATTATTCACCCCCCTTGAATTAATTTTCTTTTAAAAATATTTCCTAAATGATGTTTAACAGAGCAAGGACATTTTCCTAGTATGTCTGATAATATATTTTTTTTTCTGGAGAAAGTCTTATTTGTTTTATTTCAGCTAGAATAAAAGCAATCATTTCTATTTTTTTAAACACCATTTTAAAGTCCAAATTATTAGCCCCTTTAAGCTATATTTTTTCAATAGTCTACAGAACAAACCATCATTGTACAATAGCTTGCCTAATTACCCTAACCTGCCTAGTTAACCTTATTAACCTAGTTACGCCTTTCAATGTCACCATAAGATGTATTCACCTTATTCTCAGCTGTCGAGTGGGCGCTGCCATTTGAATCTTTTTGTCTCGCGACTTCCGGTCACATTCACTTCCATTCATTTTTTGACGTTAACAACTGCTCGTTACGCTGCTTGATGTTGCAATTTAATATTTTCTTATTATATTATGCTACTTGGTCTGTGTAGTCATGCAAACATTTGTTTGTTGAGCAAGTAGTTTGGCCATTTTCTGCCGTTTATTATTCCTAGTCATTTCTCCCATAGGCGACTGAATCGGAAGTTCTAAGACAATCGCGAAAACAGGCGCACTTCCGCATTTTAGAATAAGGTCAATAGAAGTGTCTTGAAAAAGATCTAGTCAAATATTATTTACTGTCACCATGGCCAAAATAAATGAGTTGAAAAGTATTAGGTTTAGAAATGTGTTGAAAAAATATTTTCTCTGTTTAACAGAAATTGAGGAAAAGAATAAACAGGGGGCAAATAAATTAGGGGGGATAATAATTCTGACTTCAACTGTACAATCTAGGTCTGTTTTTTTTTTGACATTTTTTTTCTACTCACTATTATATTGAGTATAATAATCTAATTAAAACATTTTAGGATTTTCACATCACAAATATTTACTTAAAACTCCTGAAACGTGCATAATATCAACCCTTATACTAATAATAAAAATACTTTTGTTGCTTGTTCAAACTACTTATTTAAAATCAGCTGCATCAACACAATTCTTAAGCTTTTTTTTGGTACAAATATATTGTTTTATGTTCAATCCACAAAAATCTCAGTCTTGATCTCTGATAAGCCTTTAGAAATTGTGTGATGCATATTTAAGGATCTATCTTTAGCATCTACTGTACAATACAATATGCATGTCACATCAGGAGTTGACATGCTTTCTTTGGCATACAGACAGTAATGTTTGGCGCATACACTCAAAATAATGACGTTTGCTGTTTGTTCAGACTGTTTATGTAAAATGAGCTGAATCAGCACAATTCTTGAAGATTTTTTGGCACAACTTAATTGTTTCATGTTTAATCCACATAAATTTGTAAAAATAAGCTAAATTAGTTCCTTCATGTTGTCCCCAAAGCAAATTAATTTTGTGGAAAAAAGGCATTTCTTTTTTTTACAGTGTAGGAAGGAAGTACACCTTATGTAAATATGAAAAAAATGGCAGCACAGTGGCCCAGTGGTTAGCACTGTCGCCTCACGGCAAGAAGGTCACTCGCTCAAGTCTTGGCTGGGCCAGTTGGCATAAAGTCCAAAGACATGCACTATAGGTGAATTGAATAAACCAAATTGGCCGAAGTGTATGAGTGTGTGTGTGTGTGTGAATGAGAATGTATGGGTGTTTCCCAATGCTAGGTTGCAGCTAGAAGGACATCCACTGCATAAAATGTTCATCATTCCGTTGTGGCGACATCTGAGGTGGAGACTAAGCTGAAGAAAAATAAAAATGAATGAAAAATAGTCTCATACTATTGTAATGATCAGCTCTTGAAATGGTTTCCAAATTCCGCACACGTGTGTTCCATATCTGCTGCTTCTTGTTGGGAACTCCATGACCTGTGAAACGTTTTCTTTTTTTCTCTCTCTCACTGTATTCAGGAAGATTTAGCCTAGGAGATCTGCAAAATAAGCATTTTCCAGGGAAGAGCATGTTATTTTTTCAGTTTCATTCCCTACAAAGTCTGAAATTTGACTGCAAGGCATGTGATTTGGTTTAAGTCATTGTTTAGTGTGCACTCTTGTGGATTTCAACCATATGTTTGATAATGCGGACCGTATTCTGTTCTCCAGCATGGCTCTGAGTTATCAATTATCATCTGTCATATTTTTCATGAAATTGCATTCAGTCTGCTTGCAGGGGTGGCAAACTCAGTTCCTGGAGAGCCGCAGCTCTGCACATTTTAGATCCAACCCTGCTTTAACACACTTAAGCTGCGCTCATACTAGAGTTTGTGCTTGTGAAATTCTGTCGTACGGTGCAATGAAAAGGGGATTAAACAAAATAATAATGATTAGACATTAAAAAAAGCGAGTGATTGATTCTTATTTTTTATTTCTTTACATTGAGGTCATGTTTTGATCTTTGATTGGTCTCACGCAGCCATGTGATGTGCTTTCACAGGTCAGAGTTCGTCAAGCTTGAACTTTTCAAAGCAGCAAACTTGCAAAACTTGCCATTCTTGCCTAGTTGCATGCGTTTAAATGAAAGTCTATTGGGCGAAAAGTGTTGTGTGACCGCAGCTTTACCTGTACGTTTAAAACAAGCCTGAAGGGCTCAATTAGTTTGTCATGTTTAATTAGGGTTGGAACTAAACTGTGCAGAGCTGCGGCATTCCAGAGTTTGACACCTGTGGCTTACTGTATGAGGAAGCCTTTCTGTTTCCATCAGCAGTTAATTCATTAAAAACTACATACTTGCATTTAAATACATTAGATACTTTTGATATTTAAAATACTTCAATGTTTTTGATGTTTTATTGATGTAAATACGTTGTAATAAAATTGTTTTTTGTTTGTATTCATAAAACACATATTAAATGCGCATGTTTTAATACTTTAATGCACATATTTTAAAATACTTATTATTTTGAGGATATATGTAAATAAATGTGATCATACAACTTGTTTTGTTATATTTTAAATTATTTAAACTTGCAAATCAATAAAACCAAGTGGTTTGATAAATAATGGCAAAGTATAAAGATTTAAAATGCAATAAATATTTTATAATATTTAAAAATAATTATGTGATCCTTAAAAAGAGCTTTTACATGCGTATGTCTTTAGATGATTCATGTTGTAAATAAACTATTGTTTCAGGTAGATCATGGTAAAAATGTCTGACAGTTATATTTTGTTTCGCAAAAAAAAAAAAGATAGATAGATAGAAATAAAACGAATA